ATGACCCCATGTTTGTCTGATACACTGTGTATATATGAATAAAATCAGAGTGAATCAAAAGTTCCATTCCCAGCTTGTATCCCGTTTCACCCATATCTTCTTTGGCTTTATTTCCCACTTTCATTTAGAACAGCAAATCTATATTTGCTATATATATCTATATTTGCTACATATATATTTGCAAATCTATATTTGCTATTTGTCTATATTCTGTTAAGCTGGTGGTTACCATTAATCGTCCCTACCAAATGTACTGTTTTAATATCGTATGCAAATTAGCCAGAAGGATGAATCTGAAGCAATAACAGTTTTACTATGTTAAGGAAACTCTTGAATATACAAGGTAAATATTCATGGAACAAATATTGGTATGTATATTTTAGCACTCCCTGAATATGAAGATGCAAGTGTGTGTGTGTGTGTGTGTGTGTGTGTGTGTGTCTGTGTGTGTGTGTGTAGAGGAGGGAAGGAAGGAGAGAGAGGCCCTTTCTTCAGCTCGTGTACTGCCACTGTCTCCACATCTTGGCAGTTTGGGCAAGTGAATCAGTCCCTAGAAAATGCTCACGGAACTTCCCTGGTGGCACAGTGGTTAAGAATCCATCTGCCAGTGCAGGGGTCACGGGTTCAATCCCTGGTCTGGGAAGATCCCACATGCCGAGGAGCAACGAAGCCCATGAGCCACAACTACTGAGCCCACGAGCCACAACTACTGAGCCCGCATGCCACAACTACTGAAGCCTGCACGCCTAGAGCCCGTGCTCTGCAACAAGAGAAGCCACCACAATGAGAAGCCCGCGCACCACAACAAAGAGTAGCCCCTGCTCACCGCAACTAGAGAAAGCCCGCACGCAGCAATGAAGACCCAGTGCAGACAAAAATAAATAAATAACTAAAATAAATAAATCTATTTAAAAAAGAAAGAAAATGCTTGCTTTTATTTATCTTCTCTCAGTCAGATTTAAGCAAAATGTCACCCAGATAAACACTCAGGGGTGATGCTGGCACGGACCTGCATTTGGATGTTCTACTACAGCTTCCGAAGTCCAGAGCCCGGCCTTCACGTAGCCCCTCTTCTCCAGAGTTATGAGAAAGCTGCCGTCTCCAACCACAACCTCCCCACTATCCAGACGTTCCAAAATGCCCTGAAGAAGAGAAAGAAAAATCACCTAAGATCCCTCTTTTTTTTTTTTTTCCTAAAAGCAGTTTCTAATTTTAGGAAAGGTGGTACAATGCTCTCACAGCTCCAGTTCTGTCGAAATCATCCGTGCCTAATAGTATTTCAGAAAAATTGAGAATACTCTATTATTGGACAATCCAGGTACTTGTTTTGTGCAAAGTTCTGTGACTATTTTTTCTCAAATACAATTTAATCTGAGTCAAATTGTAGTTAAAGTGCTGATTCCATAATGGTTATTTTGGTTTTTCAAGATGTTTGTGACAGACACTGCTAGTCACCTAATGTGCATTTTTTTCTCCTCTTCTTTGCTAATATATTTTGTTTGGGGAGACAATGTCCCCAAATGAAAAAAAAAAAATCCTCAGGCTCCTTTGCTGAGTGGGGTGGCCATGTGACACAGTGTTGGCCAATGGGAAATAAGTGAAAGTCTGCTGAAGATTTCTAGAAAAGTTTTGCTTTCCTGATACAGATGCCCACTCCCTTCCCTCTTGTCCCTTTTTCTCTGTCCTGTCTGGAATGTCAGCTTAAGCCCTGGAGGTATAGCCATCATCTTGCAGCCATGCCACTGAAAGCCACACGCAGGCTGACAACCGCAGCCTGGTGTCTTAATGACATCTTGGAGTAGCTGCAGAGGCCGTGGACGGTGACCGTCCGCTAGACCTCTCGTTGGGTGAGAAAAATAAACCTCTTTTGTGTGTGAACAACTGGACATAATCCTATTGGACACAACATTTTATAATTATACTCTACATTTTCCAGCATGTTCACGGACACGTTATCATTTGGTACTCTTAACAACTTTGGGAGCTAGGCAAGGTGGATAGTTTTTATTCCCACTTTATAGATGAGGAAACTGAGGTTCAGAGAGGCTAAGTGACTTGCTCAAGATCATAGAGCTCAGTAAGTGAAAAAGCAGACATCAGACCTTCTAAATTCCTAACCTAGTCTCTATTTACCACCTTTCGAGTCAGCCCACCCATAATCTGAATATAAGGTTGCATCCAGAGCAGTTATCCAAAGCTACGGTTTCCATTGTCTACAAAATGCTTCCCCAGATACCTCTGATTTTCTTCAGGTCTTTAAAGGTCAAGTGTCATTTTTTCAGAGAGAACTTCCCTGCGATTTATAAAAACTGCAAACACCCCCATGGGGATCCCTATCCCTCTTGTATAGACTGCATTCGTTGAAGATACAGCCTTTTGTTGAAAATACCAGCCAGTTCCTCTCAGCCCTGCCTACAGCTGGACACAGAGCAGTGCATGAATGGGGGAGGAAAGGTTCCCACTGCCCCTTCTAACCAGTCATATCTGCAGCCCAGGAAGGTACATTGGAAGCGGTTGCCCTGAGGCTAAGTACCAGGCCACTATCTCCACCACATCTCCATTTTCCTGTGGAGGGAAGTGGAATGGAGCCCAGCTCTGTTAACCAGAGCTGTAAGATGCTTGAGGCTCTGTCACCTCATACAGCACCTAACAAAGAGTAGGCCCTTAATAAAATATGCCAAGAGTTAGCAGACGCACAGGACTGTTTTGAAAATGGCACATACCTCACATATGCTATAAGCTTGGTCCTGACAAGGAGGAAAAAGATGATACTCTTTAACAGAAAATTAGCTAGGATTTTAAGAAAATGACAGTGCAAATTTTGACTGTTGCCTTCATGATACCAAGTAAATGTAAGGCATTTTGATCTGTTATCCGGATGTTTGTCCAACATTTAAAATTTTGCCAGTTTTCTAAACAGCCATTAGCAAAATAACTAAACTATCAATATTTGAATTCAGAGCATCTTTTAGCCCCTCCTTCACCGCTAGACTTTCCACCTCAGTTAACTGCTACACCTGTATGATCTAAAGCCAGCTCTAGAATGACAGGACTGTGTAAAATAAAGAGCACTGGAAATTATTTGCAGTATATTTATATTTTCATTCCATCTTCCCTTTCAGTGTGGCAGTGACTCTGCCTTGGATCTGATGGTGATCTCCGAGAGGCGTTTATGCCTTCTTTTTGCAGATAACAGTATCTAGACCTCTTGGATTTAAGATCTGGCTTCGGGGCACCTCTATTCATACACAGAGGAGTAGACCAACTTCACCCTATGGCAGGAAGCTGCCAGAGGTCCATCTGCCTGAAATTGCCACCAGGACTGCTCTTTTGGATTAAAGAAGCAATTGGAGGTGTCCTCTGTAGCAGTTAAATGAATTCTTAAAATGCACCTGTTAGCTGAGCAGAGAGGTGAGGTTAGCTCTGCCCCACTAACATCTTAACTCCCAGGTACACATTAACATGGATTCTCATATGATAATCTTGGTGTTGCAAAGAGCAGAGGCCAGGAAAAATAGGACAGGGACAGCATATTTTTAAAAAACCTTAAAAAAAATGAACTGTAAAAGTGAACACAGTATTAGAGAAAGTTCAGAGAAAGAAGTCAGCACAATGTTCTTTGCTTCTTTTTCTTTTTATCATGCTCATTTGCTTCAATGCCCATGTTTTACCTTTATAATCAGAAAAACATAACCAGAATATGTTTTTTTGTTAAGTTTTTTAAACCTATATTCCACATCTTATGGAACTACTACCATTATTGTGTGCTTCCTTACAGTGTGTGTATAAATATTTTTATGTAGTTGGGATCAGTCTGTGATATATCTCCTTTTGTAACTTAACACTGCAAAGCACTTTGCCTGTTCCCATACTTAGCTTTTTAATTGGCTGCCTAATAACTTATTAAATGGATGTACTTTATTTACGGAGCCCACTATTGCAGGGCATCTTGGTTGTTCCTATCTTTTTAGTATTACTAAGTAAAACGGTGGTGCACATCCCCCCTTCCTTCCCCACCCTCTCTTCTGAATTAGGGAGCACAGATGGGTTGCCTCGAGGAGTTTGGAGATGTCCCGCGTCCAAGTTCATGCCCTTTTCCTAATTTTGTTTTGTCACCCCTTCTCCCCACCACACACACATCCAGCGTAAAAATGGGAGAACAGGGCGACAGCTGGCGAGCAGATCGGGAAAGGGAAGCCCAGAGACCCAGACTACGGCGTGAGATGAGGCGGAGGCCCCACCCCCGGCTCCGCGCACCCCACCCTCCATCCCCGCCGCGGGTCTAGGGGTGTCCATGCCCGGGACCGGTTTCAGGCCAGTCCGAGGCTTGGGAGACCAGGCAACGGCCCTTCCCAAACACACGAGGGGCGCGAGCACTGGGGCCATTGAGTCGAAGAGCTGTAGGTGAGGGCGGGCGGAGGGCAGGAAATGTGAGGGCGGCCTGAGTCCGATGGCTGTACTTCAAACCCCTGCTCCACCTGGACTAGATCGGTGACCCTGAGCTAGGGTCTCGGACCCTGAGCCTCAGTTTCCTCACCTGTAAAATGGGAATAAACGTGAAGAGGAGATAATTTGTATGAAGCACTCGCGCAGTGCAGGGCAGCGAGTCAAGGCTCCATAAATGCTACCCAATATTGTTATCTCATCCTGACACCTAGGCACTACTGTCGTCCAGGCGATTCGCGAGCGGGTAAACCGAGGCTCAGAGCCGTCCAGGTGCCTCGCCCAGACCGCAGAGCTTGATTAGGGGCTGAGGTGAAGCCCCGCGGCCAGAAGGGCTGAGTACCTCCGGGTTTCCCCGAAACTTACCTTCTTGGCTCCGGGGCTTCCGGCCAGCGCCATCGCGGAGCGGCTGTGGCGGGCGCTGAGTGGCGGGCAGCGCACGGAGCCAGAAGCCCGCCCCTCGCCGGGGGGAGGGTCCCACCGCCTCCCACCGCCCCTCCTGTCTGCTGGCTTGGGAGTAGGTGCCTGCGCCCTCGCCCTATGGCCTCGACCTCGGCATGTTCTGCCTGGGCGCGCTGCGGCTGCGGGGCTTCCCGCTGCGGGGCTCCCCCGGCCGCCTACTTTCCGTCTGCGGCCGCGAAGGGTGAGTGGGGCCGGGTCTGCGCGGAGGCCCGCGGCTGGGCAGCTGCGGGGTGCGAGCGCAGGGCTGAGGCGGTCTCCGGGTTAGGGGTGCTTCCGACCCCGAGAAGTGGGCATTCGGCTTTCTTCTCGAATTATAGGTGTTCTTTTCTACGCACAACCGTTCAAAGTGAGAATATCAAAGGGTTCCTGGTGCAAAGACTCTCCTATCCCCATTCCCTTCCCCAGTCAACTGTTAGCAGTGTCTTCTGTATGGGGAGGCAAACGCAGGTGTATATATGGTCTTCTTTGACTTACTTATACCTTGCTTTTTACAATGCGTCTTGGAGAAGCTCATGATCTAGCTAGGAAGACAGACATGCAAATCAATATATCAAGCCACCGAGCAATATTTATAATTAGAGAAGCAGGTACACGGTGAGAGGACGTTGAGCGAGGAAGAGCGTTGTACTCCATCTGGCTCTCTTCAGCCTGGAAAACATTGGAGGGAGGAGGTGATCCAAGATTTATAGATAATGGACTTAATGACTATTATGGGTTTTTTTAATGGAATAAAATGTTTATCAGTGTGTTTTTAAAGTAGACTGAGAAAAATTATTCTCTAGATTTCTTTGAGAAAAAGAAGTCATCTGTTCAATTCTTTAGCTCTATTAAGTATCTACAATGGGTCAGAATTAGGGGAATGGGGTTCAAATGCCTCCTCCTCCCTCCCCCAACCAGGTTGCCTAAGTCAGATTGAGGCTTCCAAATGATTGTCAGCACATGTAACTCTCCCAGGCACTAGATGTTAAGTACTAGAAGAATAAGTAAGGAGAATCACACTAGTCAGAAAAAAAACCAAAAAAAAACTATAACTATCATAGCCTAGTAAAGCTACTATTAAAAACAATGTCTTCCAGAGAAGAAAACCCACCCTCACCTGCAGAAACAAGATGGAAAGACAGGGCAGAAACAGTGATAATTGGAGGTGGCTGCGTTGGTGTGAGTCTGGCTTATCACTTGGCCAAAGCAGGCATGAAAGATGTGGTCCTCCTGGAGAAATCGGAGCTCACTGCTGGATCTACCTGGCACGCAGTAAGAAAACTATCTCAGCACCGTCATATGCACTGAATTGTCACTTGTGCAATTGATTTTTTTTCCTATTCACAGCTCCCCACTGAGAGCTCTTGAGAGCAAGTTCCCTTTCCATAGCGTTGGAAGGTGCAATTGCAGTTTAGTTGGTATACTTTAAGTGGGTGATCAACATGTGTGATGTTGATAATCATGAGAAGATAATCTTGAACATATGACTCTGGATTCAAATCCTGACTCTGTCATTTTCCACTTTTGGCAACTTACTTAAGTTTCTAGTTCCTGATGTGTAAAATGGGAATATTAATAGTACCTACCTAATAGGGTTGTGATGAAGATTGAATTAATATGTGTAAAGTTATTATGGTAAGTGGTTAGTAAATATTAGCTTTTGTACGAAAGGATAGTGGCTGGGCGATCCTGAATACAGGCCTGAGACCTTTACCTATGTCCCCTCACCTGGCTTTAGTGATCCTTTTATGTTTATTGATTTATGATTTTAAGTTAGTGCTGTGAGACAGCAGCTTGGCTTCATGAGGACTTAACTATGAGGGCTGAGAATATGCAACACAACTTTCATGTTATGTTAAATGAAACACACGACCAAGTCAATCTCACCTATTTAATGGTATGTGTAATTGTTCCAGTGCTGTATAATAATTGGGCTTACATCGAAAGCTGCTCAGGTAAATGAGGTGATTGACACTGCTTTCATACTGCCAAACCAATTATTTCTGAAGTCAGCTAAGATGGGAGAGGAAGATTTTATGACTGCAGGTGCCATTTTTGTTTGGAGGAAGAGTTGGGATGAACAACGAGGTCCTACAGTATAGCACAGGGAACTATATTCAGTATCCTGTAATAAACCATAATGGAAAAGAATATGAAAAACAATATATATATATATGTATAACAGAATCATTTTGCTGTACACCAGAAACTAACATAACATTGTAAATCAACTATACTTCAATTTAAAAAAAAGTTGGGCAGTGTCAGCTTCTGCTCGTCATCCCTTTCCATCGTTAGCTTTCCACTACTGAGACAAGAGGGAACCCTGCTTTTAGGGGCCTTTTGACACCCAGCACCTGCTCACAGTAAGGGATAGAGTTGGATCTCCTGCCTCCAGCTGAGCTTCGGAGAGATTGATGCCCAGACTTAAGCCCAGTTCACCCCAGAGTCCCTGTGGTCACATAGTCAGACCACACCCACCAATTGGATGGAGACTTCTAGAAAAACGGCATCAAGCCCTGCTTCTCTTCTTTCTTCTCCTGCCAGCCCTCTCACTTCTCAGTCTGGGAGGGAGGCCCAGCTACCTGGTCCTCCCTGAGTGTCTTTTCTGAGTCTCCATAGGCACATTTGTCTCTCGTGTCAGCAGTTCTCCCTCAGCTTGCTTCCTGCTACCTGGAGAGAGGGGCCCAGGAAGCCACTGACCCTTCTGGCTCTTCTCCCCTCCCTGAACTAGACTTTCTATGCAGATTTCCTTTTATCATGGAATAGAAAGCCTGCATTTCTGCCACAGCTCTCCTATGACTTCTTTTTAGTGGACATTCGGTCAGTCTTTCAACAAATATTTATGAAGAGCCTCTATTGTGTCAGGCCAGCACTGTTCTAGGAGGTGAGGACACAGCAGTGTGCAAAACAAAGCCCCGGCCCTCATGGAGCCACGTTCTGGGGGGGCAGATGGAAGAAAACACAAATGATGCTCTAGAGTAATCGGTGCCAGCAGAGTGGAGCGGGGTAAAGGGATGAAGAATGATGGGGGTGGAGGAGCCTGGAGGCTACTTCGAAAAGGTGACACTTGAGCAGAGACTGGGCAGGAGTGAGGGAGCAAGGGGGCCATGAGGCTCTCCAGGTAAGAGCATGTAAGCAGAGGGAAATTTTTTTTTTTTTTTTTAACAATGCCGTATTTTATTTTATTTTATTTTTTGCGGTGCGGGCCCCTCACTGTTGTGGCCTCTCCCGTTGCGGAGCACAGGCTCCGGACGCGCAGGCTCAGCGGCCATGGCTCACGGGCCCAGCCGCTCCGCGGCATATGGGATCTTCCCAGACCTGGGCACGAACCCGCGTCCCCTGCATTGGCAGGCGGACTCTTAACCACTGCGCCGCCAGGGAAGCCCAGCAGAGGGAAATTTTGCCAAATGGGAATCTCCTGAGAGGGAGGGCTTATACCCTTTTAACACTTACGGATTGTTAAGGCGGGTGTACACTTTAATATTTTAATTACTTTTTTGTTCATTTATAGTGGATTGACTTGATGTAACCTCCAATTTAGTTACTAGAATAACTAGAATCCCTGAATATTACTTCTTAAACATCCCATGAATAATAATAATAATAAAGCAACATATCCTTAGCCTAAGATCTTTTAAGAAAATTGGGCAAAGTTTTTAAGATGATGGCTTCTTCTTAAAAGTTAACTGTGCAAACTAATTTCCCCTTAAGCAGAGAGGTACCAGAATGAGTGGAAAAGGCATTTTTCTGCTTTTGAACAAAGTAGTAGGCTCTGGTTCACAAAATAAGATTCATGCAGGGTGAGCTCAAGATGGACTCAAGTATCAGAAGCCAGGTTATTTGGGCCCCTACAAATAAAGGAAAAGAAAACTGGATTGCCCTAGGAAGCTGATTAGAGGATTTCTTGCAAATGGTCTCCCACCAAAGAGCATCCTGAAGAAATGCCACAGATTAGAATTTTTTTGAGGTATAATTGACATAATAGTTTCAGGTGTAGAACGTAATTATTTGATACTTGTATATATTGCAAAAGGATCACAATAAATCTGGTTAACATCCATTACCACACGTAGATACAAAATGTTTTTCTTGTGATGAGAAGTTTTAAGATGTACTCTTAGCGACTTTCAAATATACAATACGGTATTGTTAACTGTAGTCGCCATGCTGTACGTTCCATCCCCAGGACTTCTTTATCTTATAACTGGAAGTTTGTGCCTTTCGACCCCCTCCACCCATTTCACCCCCTCACCAACCCTGCCTCTAGCAACCATCCATCTGTTCTCTGTATCTCTGAGTTGCATTGTTTTGTTTGTTTGTTTGTAGATTCCTCACGTAAGTGAGATCATATGGTATTTGGTATTTATAGTTCTTTGTCTTGTTTTCTTTAGCATAATGCTGTCAAATTCCGTCCATGTTGTTGCAGATGACAGAATTTCCTTCTTTTTTATGGCTGAGTAATATCCCATTATATATATACATGTCACATTTTCTTTATCCATTCATTTTTTAACACAGAAATTTTGGAGCAGATATGAGAATGTGGACGTTTTGGGGGGGCCAGCTGAAGGGGCAGACTACAAAAATAAAGACAGTCTCACTGAAGAATAACACGTGCTCAAGGCTAAGCATTTCTGGGACATGCAGGAATCAGATGCGCTGGGGAGGAGGGCACAGCTTGCAATGTGAATATTCAAAATGGAATCACAAATCCAACAGTCTTGAGGTTTTGCTGGATTTTAACGAGACGTTTTGTCAGCACCCAATAATACTGCTAATATAGAACATTTCTTGTAGGATGGAAGGAAAGAGGAGAGAATGGACAAAGAAGCAGTTTTGGCATATGGGGTCCCCAGGAGAGGCTGCCCCTGGGAATGGTGTCAAAGTGGATGTTTTGGAGGGCTGAGGACTAAAGATGCAAGATTATCCATTTGGGGTGTAGGAAGACAATGTTAGACCTTTCTGTTTATTTTATTTTATTTTATTTATTTATTTATTTTGTGGTACACGGGCCTCTCACTGTTGTGGCCTCTCCTGTTGCGGAGCACAGGCTCCGGACGCGCAGGCTCAGTGGCCATGGCTTACGGGCCCAGTCGCTCCGCGGCATGTGGGATCTTCCCGGACCAGGGCACGAACCCGTGTCCCCTGCATTGGCAGGCAGACTCTCAACCACTGCGCCACCAGTGAAGCCCTCTGTTTATTTTTATCTAAAAATACAAGAAAGACATTAAGCTTTACTAATCTTTATAAATAGCCCTCACCTTTGATGTGGGTGACATATTGTGTATGATACCAATGTTGCCTAAGGGAGAGGTTGGTGCTCCACAATGGGAGCGTCCCCATTCTTTCTTTTGTCTTCAGTCTGTCATGACATATTGCAGATCACATGCTATAGGATATCAATGTTATGATCGATTTTATAGAAACAAGGCTTTAAATAATATTGTTTGTGATGAAAGGGAGAGGGAATGACCTTGAGAGTGTTGTACTACACAGAGGTTTGTTGGTTATCCCGGAAAAATAATCAAAAGAGTTGTAAAAATGTTTTTCTTTTACAAAAAGACAAGTGTCCCCAGTTTGGTGATCTTTGTAGTGATGGAAGTGGCTGCCAGTCATTCTATGTAGTAGATACATACAAAACAATAGATGTAGTTTATTCCTTCAAAGTCAAGGTGATGCTCACAATAAGTGAAAAATAATTTTTGGAAAATAGTCCTGTTGGAAAGAAAGCATTTTGAGAAGGGGTGTTTGGAAATGTTGGTATCATTATTAGATTTTTCTGGCCAAAATGATATGTATCACCTAGAAAAAACTCTCAAACATGCAAGAGATAAATTTAAAGTTAAGTTTAAACCCATTTAACATTTTCCCAAATGAGGAGTTTCAGTGGGTTTGTACCCATTTTTTAAAATGTATAATGCAGTACCTCCCAATTAACTTATAACAGTTGATGGACAAGAGAACGTGAAACATTAATAGTCAAATTTCAGTAAAATCCTTTTGGTAGGTGGTGTTGGGAATGGAAGAAGTGGCGTCAAGATACAGAGAGTACAGCCAAGAGGGGGCACTTTTCCCAATTTCACCTTTGTATCATTGACAGATAGCTTCTTCAGCTATCACAGCCATTCAAACCATCACAAGAGAAAACACACCAAGAAATTAGACCTTCAAATCGCTGTTTTACCAACATTAATCCAACATATATATTTTAGTAATATAAAATATTACATAGCCCTTGCTAAAATATTAATAAGCTTAATATTCAAAAGCTTTTCTACACAATAAATTTTTAAAATTCAGAAACCTTTCTACACAATCAATAAAGTAAGAATTATTTACAACATTTAATTCATTTCCAGTTGTTTTTGTGTGTTTTATGATCTCTGCTAATATAGTAATACATATTTATATGTCATGTGGGAATAAAGAAATACACATATTTTAGTGGGTATGCTCAAATATTTTTATTGGATGCGAGTACATGGAAGCACTGGGATGTGGGAAGGCTTGAGGTTAGTCACTGGGCTTTCTGAGGCTGTAGAGGCTCATGACAGAGTGGGAAGGATGATTAAAGAGAGAGAGAACATCACTAGCTTTAGCATCCATGGAGATTTTTCTAACTGCATCATTCCTTTCATGCTTATTGTTAGTCTGCTAGAAGGAAGAGCTTTCCACTCTCCCTACTTATTTATTTATATCAACAAGGATTTATATATTCTTATTTTCTTCAAAGGGTTATAATTCTTAATGATTATTCTTTTTTTAAATTGAAGTATAGTTGATTTACAACATTGTGGTAATTTCTGCTGTACAGCAAAGTGATTCAGTTATACATATATATATATATTCTTTTTCATATTCTTTTCCATTATGGTTTATCTCAGGATATTGAATATAGTTCCCTGTGCTATACAATAGGACCTTGTTGTCTTAATGATTATTCTTGTCTGTGTTTCATCTTCCCTCTTTTATCTTCTCCACCAACTATAATCATTTTCTTTCTTCAAATCAAAAGTAAGCCCCTGCCTGTCCTCCATGAAGCCTTCTGTGATCCTTCCAGCATCTTCTCTTAGTTCCCTTAGTTCTTGTGTCTTTCTCTCTATGCTCTGGCACTTAATCCTATGCTCTTGATTTCATTGTTTCATGTATGAAAGTTTCATGACCCCAATCAGACTATAAAATCTTGAAGGATAAGAACAGTGTTTTTCTTCTTCTTCAAACTTCCCACTTAAAATATCCTTGCTGGAGCCCAGAAAGGAAGAACATTGTACCCTTCTTCCACCCCATGCCACAGGACTGACACACAAGTTAACAATAAATACCATGCAGGACATTACATTCAAATAACTCACAATAAAAGCACAGATACGATTGACCCCAAATTTTGAACACAGATTAAAAGACAAAAACTGGTTGATAAAAAATGTAAGGAATACAAAAATTATACATATATATGTATAATTTTATACCTGACAAAAAATTGAGTTCAGGATTTACTTCTGACTGTCCCGGCAGCAAGGAAACTAGGGTTGTATGAATTGTTCAGTAGAAATAGTTATAGCATTTCAGTAAGAAAGACCAATTTTTCCTTGACCAGAAATTCCTAGAATTTATTCCCTAAAAAAAGGATGTTGAGCTAAATGTTTTGAGTAAGAGCTTTACAAAACAAACTGATGTGACCCTTTCAGAAGAGAGATCATTAACTCATTCTATGAAAACAGCTTTCCAGGGTGGGGAAGAAGATTGATGTAGTGTAGATATATCATTTTCGGGTGGTCTGGCTCTACCTAGGTTAAACTTAGAGGATCTTGAGGAGTGAATGGTGAACAGAACCCTAGGCCCAGGCTTGTGAATATCCATTTTCTCAACTGACACGAGATATATCGAAAACAAAATTGAGTTCTCTAGAAGATGCCTGAAGGCCAGAGATTCTCTATTATTGAACTAGAAAACTTCCTATCACATTAGATACCAAGTATGTAAAGAAGGTTGTGATATTTGGCTGAAAGTTAGGGAGCCTGACTCACAGTTGCCTCATTATGGGGCTGTGCTATGAGAGGACCTATGACGTTGGGCCAGCATTTTTCTCAGAAAAGTAGCCAAATGCTTGAACAAGTACTTGATAGACACGAAGGATTCTGGTCCATAAAGGATCACTGATGAACTTTAATGGCGGATTTTTTTTTTAATTGAAGTACAGTTGATTTACAAAGCTGTGTTAGTTTCAGGCGTACAATGAAGTGATTCAGTCATACATATATATTCTTTTTCAGATTCTTTTCTATTATAGGTTATTACAAGACATTAAATATAGTTCCCTGTGCTACATAGTAGGTCTTCATTGTTTATCTATCAATATTTTATATATAGTAGTATGTATCTGTTAATCCCAAATTCCCAATTTATCCCTCCCCTGGCTCTTTCCCCTTTGGTAACCATTAGTTTGTTTTCTATGTCTGTGAGTCTATGTCTGTTCTGTAAATAAGTTCATTTGTATCACTTTTTTTAGATTCTGCATATAAGTGATATCAGTAGAACCAAATGCCCAACACGAAGAACTTTATAAATACTCCCAAACAGACTTTATTTTAAACAGATTGTATTCGGATGAGCTTTCCAGGATAAATTAGCTGCTGAATGGGGCCCCAGACACTTAACTGAGAGAACCTGCTTCATATCATTGCTTAGAATTCTTTGCCTGGATACCATATTGCATCCGCCAGAGTTGATAAAAAGGGGTTTGGCAGGTAATATTTAGATATTTTCCTGAGAGTGATTATTCAATATTTATTCAGGAAATGTTTGCGGGGTATAATCTATGTGCTCATTCATCAACTGGTTAAGCTATGACAAAGGTCTGTTCACCACTCAACAGGCTCTAATTCCTAGGAATGTTCCACTTCTTCAATTTTGGAAATTTCAAGAAAGAAAATAGGAGGGCCACTCAATTCAAGGGAATGGTGGGGATAGAGACAAGGAAAACTTTTTGCTTGCTTGTTCATAGTCCTCCTTGAGGGAACACACGCTTTGTTGGTTTGAGTCCACATTGTATGCCGTCCCCCCATATTTTTCCTAATAGCGTACATTCCTAACCTAAGTGATTCCATCTAAGTCATCCCGTTTCTGAATCTGCAAACAATCCTTTCCCTAATAACTTTTAGGGACTGACTCTATATGTTTGTTGGCTGGCTCTCACATTATTTATGTGGTTCAAGTGGGTGCTTGTAACTGTCACGAGCCTTATGCAATGTGCATTCAAACTCGTGCTGGCGTGTTCTCATCCCAGAGGACTGGCTGGTGCTTGCCAATTTCTTGCCAGTAATAAATTACTTCTTAACAGATAAACTGTCAACATTTTGAGAATGTTAATTTTTTTTGGTATTTCCTTTCCTCCCCACTTTTAAGGCAGGTTTAACAACTTACTTTCATCCTGGAATAAACTTAAAGAAAATACATTATGATAGCATCAAACTTTATGAGAAACTGGAAGAAGAAACCGGACAGGTAAATGCATTTAGCTTGAAATTGTCTGTTTAGGTCAGTTTCTCAGAGATACATAAGATTACTGAAGGATTTTGATATCATCATGTATCGCTGTGTGTAGTGACAGCCATGGCATGTGAAATGTGGTAGAAGATTCTGATGAGAGTTTAAGATGAGAAACTAGAGCTTGCTTTTCAATCAATTTAATTTCTTGAAGTGTATTACCCATGTAATTACCTGCTCCTGATTTTTTATTTTATTTTATATTTATTTATTTATTTATTTTAAAGAAGATGTTGGGGGTAGGAGTTTACTAATTTTATTTATTTATTTTTGCTGTGTTGGGTCTTCGTTTCTGTGCGAGGGCTTTCTCTAGTTGTGGCAAGCGGGGGCCACTCTTCATCGCGGTGCGCGGGCCTCTCACTATCGCGGACTCTCTTGTTGTGGAGCACAGGCTCCAGACATGCAGGCTCAGCAGTTGTGGCTCACGGGCCTAGTTGCTCCGTGGCATGTGGGATCCTCCCAGACCAGGGCTCGAACCCGTGTCCCCTGCATTAGCAGGCAGATTCTCGACCACTGTGCCACCACGGAAGCCCTCCTGAGTTTTTAAATGAGAAAAGAATAAAAAGCAGCTTTCAAAAATATCTTTAGTCAGCTTCTATATCTAGAAACTAAGATATCACAGCCTTTCTGCACTGGATTGCAAAGGATCTGACAACTGTACATGTCAGATTGTCACATGCCTTCGAAAAGTACTTCACTAAAAGCCCCTCACTTTTTTTTTTTAAATATGTTTGTTTGGTTGTTTATTTATTTATTTATGGCTGTGTTGTGTCTTACTTTCTGTGCGAGGGTTTTCTCTAGTTGCGGCAAGTGGGGGCCACTCTTCATCACGGTGCGCGGGCCTCTCACTATCGCAGCCTCTCTTGTTGCGGAGCACAGGCTCCAGACGTGCAGGCTCAGTAGTTGTGGCTCACGGGCCCAGTTGCTCGGCGGCATGTGGGATCTTCCCAGACCAGGGCTCGAACTCATATCCACTGCATTGGCAGGCAGATTCTCAACCACTGTGCCACCAGGGAAGCCCCCCTCACTTTTACTTTTCTCTCTTCTCATTTGTATTAGTACTTTCAAAATAAAGTGGCAGCAAAGAGTATCCATAGACTAAGACTGAAGTCTGCTTAAAATTTTCATGCTATTGCCCTTGCCTAAAACCATCACATGGCTCCCCACAGTCTACAGGACAAAAGCCAAAGAAGAAGGGCCTTCATTAGCTAAGCCCTGCCTGCCTTTCCAATGTTTTCTCTTGCCACTCTTTGCTATGCTCAGATGCTTCAGCTATTCTTAATTGCAAACAGTTCTAGAATGAGCTGGGCTGTCTGCCTGAGACAGCATTCCCTCTGGTCCCCATTTCAGCATTCGCCTTCCACCCTTTCCCGGGGGGCGTCTCCTTTGAGAAGGCATCCTTGACTTTGTTCACCCAGCAGTCAGGCGGAGCTGAGGGCATATCTCTTGGCTCTAAGAACATGTGTACACATACCTCTTATATTACGAATCCCCCTCAATTGTGATTGTTGCTTTACTGATTGGTCTTTCCTACAGAGTCCGAGCAACTTGAAGATAATGACTACATCTTTGATCACTGTCACCCAGGGCCTTGCTGAGTGCTTGGCCAACTAAAGGACTTCAATAAATGCCAGGGCTTCCCTGGTGGCGCAGTGGTTGGGAGTCCGCCTGCCGATACAGGGGACGCGGGTTCGTGCCCCGATCCGGGAGAATCCCGCATGCCACGGAGGGGCTGGGCCCGTGGGCCATGGCCGCTGGGCCTGTGTTCCGGGGCCTGTGCTCCGCGGCAGGAGAGGCCGCAGCGGTGAGAGGCCCGCGTACCGCAAAAATAAATAAATAAATAAATAAATAAATGCCAGATGAATGTTTATTTCAATTCACACTTAATCTCCTCACCGCAACATTCTGATTCTTCATGTTCCCTCTTCAAATCCTTTGTCTTTCTTTTTTTCACATAATTTTCTTCTACTCTGTACATGAGCACTGTCTCATGTTGTAACTGTGCATTTGGCTGTCCATCTTCACCTGTAGACTGTAAGCTCCATCCAGGCAGGATCTTCATCTGTCTTGTTCACAACAGCGTCTCTGGGGCTTAGCACAGTGCCTGGCACAGAGGAGACACTTAGTAAATATTTGTAAAATGAACATCTTTTCATATGATGTAAATATGGTGTATAGCTATCACTTTCACTGCATAGTGAATCTCTTTTCTTACACACCTTCATTTTCATTGTGCTGGAGAAGAACCATGTTTGAGTGCCAAATAATGATTTATGAGTTTTTACTGGTATTGTCATCACAGGTGGTGGGATTCCATCAGCCAGGTAGTATCAGAATTGCTACAACTCCTGTAAGGGTAGATGAATTTAAATATCAAATGACTCGGACTGGCTGGCATGCAACGGAACAGTATATTATTGAACCTGAAAAAATACAAGAGATGTTTCCTTTACTCAACATGAATAAGGTATTTATCCTAAGGGCATTTTTTTTTTTTAACCATTTGTTGATTTTAATTAAGATCAGAAAATGTTATTTTAGAAATTTAATTAGAAAAAACTTTGTGCACACATTTTGAATGTCAAAATCAGACGATTAATGCTGGAATTTGGGTAAATTATAAGATGGGCTATTATGTTTGCTAAATACAGTAAAGGTAATGAAAAATCTTATTAGCTTTCTACCTATTACAACTGAGGAAACATTTTCAATACCTCTCTATTACTGTGTCCCCCAGATCTGGAGGTTTCTATAATAAACCTTCTGCTTGAGAAATGCAGAGAAGACAATAACCAGGTGTGACAAATGTGTGTATAGAAAGACTGTGTTACTAACATTTTTTTTACAAAATCAAAGGTAGAAGTACATGTTATATTGCTACACAGATATCACCTAACTCATAGCTGTACTACCCTGACAGGTATCGATCTAACCAAATTTAGCTGAGAAAATCCACTTGGGAATTTAGTGTCTTTTTGCTGGGTGATAATCCCATTTGAATAATAATAACAATGACTAATACTGCACCACCTAACACTACAGCACATACTTAATGTACTAGGTATTATGCAAAGCCATTTACATGTATAATCTCATTTACTCTTCACAATAATAATAGAAGGTATAGATTATTACTAAACAGGAAATTGCAGCTTAGATAGTGTACATAGTGGGCCCGAGCCCATCCAGCTAGAAAGAGCTGGAGGAGATTTGAACCCAGGCTCTCTGACTCCTCTGTACCTATGCTACCTAAAGGTACAAGGTGGAGCTGTTCAGGGAAGCAGAGGCTTGTGTTTCTCCCCAGTGTAGTATCTATGACGCCTAAGGGTTCATAGCGTTGCTCTGGGAGCTGGGTTATTAGCCCCTGTGAGTCTTGACAGATTGCTGGCACTCCCTTTTCAGTAGTTTTGTGTGATGCCAATGTGGTGGCAGATTGGTGTTGCATTGCATTGTCTGCGTTAAAATTCTGCCACCACTGCCAGGAAGGATATTCTTATATCTGTTTATATGTCAATCTTGGGATGCTCTGCTGGAAGTTCTCACATCACAGATTTTTCACAAGGACATTGGGCAATGGAAATATGTGGGAAGAGTATTCTCTGGCTCTGGGCAGGGTGCCAAATCAAATAGATCTAGGGTCACTGCATAAGGACATATCCATTATAAAACACCAAAGTGACGTTTAGAAGTCTACAGTAATACAAATTCCATTAAAACCAAAAGTCTCTTGCACTAAACCTATAACAAGAGATTGGATTAGTAATCCAAAACTTCCCACAAAGAAAAGCTGGGGCCCAGATCGTTTCACTGGTGAATTCTACCAAACATTTAAAGAAGAATTACTACAATTCTTCACAAACTCTTCCAAAAATAGAAGAGAATTGAACACTTCCCAACTTATTCTGTGAGGCCAGAATGTATTGCTGTGCCAAAACTAGACAAAGACATCACAAGAAAAGAAAGACCTGTATCTCTTATGAATATCGATGCAAAAGTCCTCAACAAAATACTAGCAAACTGAATTCAGCAACATATAATAAGGATTTTTTTAGCATAACCAAGTGGAATTTATCCTGGCTATGCAGGGTTAGTTTAACATCTAAAAATCAATCAGTGCAATATTGCATGAATAGAATAGAGGACAAAAATACATCATCATCTCAATAGATGCAGAAAAAAAATTGACAAAAGCCTCTTGACCATACTTGGTGCTTAATAGATTTTTGTTGAACGGATGAGAACTAACTGTACTATTTCAGTGCTCCCTCCTTGTTTCATCTGAGTTTTATTCTTCTTTGTTTCCCCCACAGTACCTCAAGCCGTAGCACAAAGTAGGTATTTAAGAACTAGTTGTTGATGACTGAATCAAGTATACATTTTCCTGACACCAGATATATATTTAACATGTGAATCTATTAACAGTATTAAGCAATTAAATATAAATAATTAATCAATTAGTATTAGATTTAACTGCAAATGTTAGAAACCAAAATAATAATGCTTAAACAAGATAGACATTTATTTCCCTTTCATTTTGGCAGTCCAGGGCTGAATGGTGGCTCTTATCCATGAAGACTTCAGGGATCCAGTTGCCTTCTGGATCATTGCTTTGTCATTCATAGGATGTGACTCCTTTGTTCTTACTCCAAGATGGCAGCTAGAGCACCAGCCATCATGTCTGCATTCCAGACAGCAGAATGGAGGAAGGGACAAAGAAGGGACAAAGGGCATATGCCAATTGTCTCCTTAAAATGGTCCATGTGACCATGACTCTTTCATTTGACACTTTCATTTGCATTTCATTGACCAGAATTTAGTGATAGTTTTAGCTACCATCTGGAACTAGTAGCTGCCAACTATTGGAAACTCTTTGTTCTTAGTGGTTATGTGTCTAAATAAACATTTGGTTTCCATTGCTTTGTGGGGGAGGGGAGAATGAATGTTGGAGATGATTGCAAACCTCTGTCAAATAGCCTGTCTACTTAGCTCTCAATGTGAGTCCTGCCTAGCTCTGAGCTTGGACATAGGGGAAAAAAAAGTGGAGACTGATCAATCTGATGCCATGATGCATTTTTCAAGTCCAGTTTTGCTAAACATTTGCTGGCAGGATACAGTTACACTGAGTGAGTATATGTATTCATTTGACTATTGACTGTTTTGTGATCGATTTAGATTTTAGCTGGACTGTATAATCCTGGAGATGGTCACATTGATCCTTATTCTCTAACTATGGCCCTGGCTGCTGGGGCTAGGAAATATGGTGCCCTTTTAAAATATCCTGCACCAGTGACTTCTTTGAAACCCAAGTCAGATGGAACATGGGATGTTGAAACACCACAGGGATCTATGAGAGCAAATAGAATTGTGAATGCTGCAGGTAAGCGTCATTTAAAAAAAAAAAATACTGTTTTTTTTTCGAGTGGCAAAGAAATAAGATATTTAGTCATAATGTAATGTTTTATACTATGAACATTGTTATGAAACACTGTGGTACTCCCATGGCGAACATTTTGTCTGTTTCTAAGCTACAAAGCTCTCCCTCCATCACTTTGCTCTTGTGTGAGATAACTCTGTCCTTGGTTATCCATAGCGAGTTGGTTTTCTTCTCCATGCTCCATTTTATTCTGCTCCGGATAATGTTTTGCCAACTTATGCTTTTTTTACCTACCTGTGTTCACACTTTCTTTATAATAATAACCAAATTCTAATGTTCAAATTCACGAGCATCCTCTTTGCTCTCAGTTTGTTTTTTGGAGCAGAGTTGATTATTTGTGTTCTTTCTCATCTATTTTGATTACTTTACTCTGTTCAAAAACCTTTTAACCCTTTTCCTTTCAGCACGTTATTAAATATATTTCATAATCTTTTCTTTAGGTTGCTCTGTTACAATTTAGACTTAGAGTAATGAAGCCAAAAGGGATATTTGAGATAATCTAACAACTCACTCATTGTCCATTTGTGGAGACCAAGGTCCAAGAAGGTTATACTAATTGCCAAAGTGACAGTTATGTCAGAGCCAGGACTTGAACCTGGGTCTTTTGATTCTTGAATTAACATACTTTCTATCAGGTTCTTTGCCTATGAAGTAATTTTCAAATATCACACATAAAAATAAATCCTCGTGCAAATGAAACTGCTTGTGTAATCTAAACCGGGCTAATAATTTATATTTATCTATAGTTCATAATGGTTAATTTAAAACGTAAAATAAACATGAGGCAGCTACTGATTTTCTTATGTTCTGTTCTTTGAGTCATTGCTTAAATTTACAAAATGAAAAAAATCTTTATTATTTATCAGATCAGATGATACCCATGAGGACATGCCAGAAACAAATACCCTTAGGATTCTTTCCTCTAAATCGTAACTTCTGATTGATGTTATTTTTTAACAAACCATTTTTAGTGGCCCTGGAAAAAGTCATGTCTTCAGTATTTAAGAGTTTAAGTTAGTATTTCTGAATCTTTCTAACCCATGCCCCGCATTTGAAAAGCATAAAATCTCATTCATTCTTGAACATCATTTGAAATTCCAAATAATGTAAAACAACTTACCTAATAAATAAGAGCAAAGGCATAAAACTTTGCTTTGTTTTTGAATTTCACTTGCCCACCCCCAAGGAAATCCCCATCAGGCACCCCCCATCTCCCACTGTCCTTGGGTACATCTCGTCTAAATTCTCCTAGAAGATCCAAGGCAATGAAATCATTCATCCTTTTTTTTACAAGTAGCAAAAATTCTTTGTAATCTTGCAACTTTCTTTACGGTCTCATGAATTCAGCCTCTAAAAACATTTGACTGTTTTCCTAGTGATAGCAAGTACTAAATAAACATGCTCTGACTTCATATCCAGCACCCGTGTCAGACATTGCTAATTGATCACTGCACTCATTTCAGAGAGACTTGGACAAACCCCACGATTTTTCTTAACACAGTGCTTCAGGCAGCCACACACTCCTAACTGATATTTTGACAAATAACATAGAAGACCTTAATTTAACACATTTATCTATTGTTTTCCTAAAATGGATAAATATTTATTTGCACGATTCATTGCCATTGTAATATTTTGTTTTCTAAAGCACAATCTGTGAGGAATAAGGAATCTCTGAAGAGAAAGAATAATTTCCAAAGAGATCTGACCTAAGCCCGGGACATTGGTTACCAGATGAAATATTCTATGCAGCTGGGCAATCTTGTGGGGTGATCAGGGCAGAGGAGGGCAATGGCAGGAGGTCCTGGAGAACAGTTTTTCTGGTACTGGCCTCAGAAAACAAATCCCAGACCAGCACCAGAAAAACTGTTCTTCAGGCTGTCCTTCTTCATTCTGTGCTCCTGATGCCTTTAACTCAGCCACGTCTGAGTTCCATCCTCAGGTCTTGGTAACTCCAGGCAGCTCCTTGTTCACAGTTGTATGAAGAACTATACGGTCTCCATTCTCAGTTCTTTACATCATTCAGATCACATCTCTGGCCCATATCATTTTTTTTCCTTTTTCTTCTCCATCTCTTCTCTTCCACTGGGCAAAAGTTATTGGAGAAAATCTAACTGATCACATATAAATAGTCCGTGGAAGGTGTGGAGGGGTGTGTGTTTAGTTATTTCTGTCTGTTTTCAAAAAAAACTTTAAAGTATAGAAGTTCCCCCAAAAGTAAACCTCAGTAATTGGGGGTGAAGTTTTGGATATGCCCCCTTCTAGACTTAAAGCTAACAAAGATTAATTTTATGAATAAAAGCAACCATCTGCAGAAGACATTGTGCTAACATGATTTAGAATGTGTGTCTGATGGAATGTTTCCCAGAGTTACTCAGTGAGTCCAGGATGTCTCATAAATTCAGGTGAGGCCCTCAGGCAGCTCTGAAACCTAATTAAAGTAACCAGGATATAGACTTGGAAATACAACCAAAACAATGATGTATCTACTCAATTGTACCATAACCTGCTAAAAGTTTCTTTACATGGAGTCATAACAGAAGGCTGCTGAATCTTCAGGATATCCATGGAAAGGGAAGTCTAAAAGCAGAAATTTATCAGTTTGTTGCTGTGTCTCCAGCACTGTCCAGGGCAGTGGGGCTATCTCGACCAGAGACACATTATTGCCAACTGTGTGACTTGGGCAAATTACTCATTTGTAAAATGGAGATAATAATTCCCATCTGAACAAGTTATTCTGATCCATAAATGATGTAAAGTACCCAGAAAAGTCCTACCACATAGAAAGCACTAAACAAATTAAGTATAATAATGATAATTTTTATGATTATTATAATTATTTCCTTGAAAGTCTATGCCCTGGTCTGGGAAACACTAGCATCAAGTGTCACAGTTTCTTGGTACCAGCCTTAAGATTCCCCAGATCCTTTCACTTGCTCTGTAGTCATCCAGCACCCATTCTGCTGGTAAACTGACTTCCCAAAGAGCTTGGTTCTCAACCTAGGTGCATAAGGGTCACCGTGGGAAGTTTCCCAGGTGGTCTGGCCGGGAAGCTGTATTTTAAACAAGTACTCCAGGTACTGTACTGTCTGTACCAGATAGTATGTAAAATATCTTTTGAGAAACACTGCTATATCAGTGTTCCTACAGGAGAGGGAATGTAGGAACCTTATTCTTGAGCAAGCAGAGCTGAGGACCAGTTTCTGACCCTGCTGACCTCTTGGTGTGCAATAGGCTAACTTGCCTTTAGTACTGCTTTTTTTTTTTTTTTAATTGGAGTATAATTGCTTTACAATGGTGTGTTAGATTCTGCTTTATAACAAAGTGAATCAGTTATACATATACATATGTTCCCATATCTCTTCCCTCTTGCGTCTCCCTCCCTCCCACCCTCCCTATCCCACCCCTCCAGGCAGCTTCACTCTACCTTAGGTCTAACCTGAGCCCCAGAGGCAGCTCAAGGGCAAGGGCAGGAGCTATTCACTGTGATGCAAGCTTTTTCTTTGCACGGTGAGGAATGTTTCTCTTGACCTTGTTTACAGTTGACTCGTTAAGCCCAGAGATAACTTTGTAAACTTTACTTAAGAATTTCCCTAATATGGTAAATCAGAAATGTGATTGGGTCATGCCAAGATGAAGCCCAGTGTTCAGCCAAAAAAGAATTGCTTAATTTTATCAATACTTTGCATCAGAGTGTGTCACTGTATAAACATCATTGTCACTGTATAAACCATCTAGTAGGAGTAAACCTGTCCACCAACCTGTACTGTTCATTTTAACTCCATTTCTGTCAGTCACTGCATTTTTAAAAGTTGGAAGCCATTTCTAATGATCACTTTTTTATTGATTCTTCTGTTCAGTGTTTTTTCAGGTGATAATGGTAGGTTATAGAGGATTCCTCCACATTTGTTTCTCTTCCCTTTGAACTTGCTGGGTGGGTGATCTAGCAAGGGTTGAAGTGTAATCCTGGCAAGTTTTATGTTAATTTGGTTGACATATAGAGGAAGAGAATGCCAACAGACACCACCACGTAGGGAAAAACAGTGTCCAGCTTGCTATGGGGTTTGGAGTAATATAGTTATATGATATTTATGCATATACTTCCACTTTGTTTTAATGATGAAGTATATTAATAAACAAGCAATTAGATTCAGAAATTTATAAATATATTTGAATAGGACAGGATTTATTTTCTTCAATTTATGTTTTTAATTGAAGCAAGTATATTAAGCACTGCAGTAGTTTGAATTGCTAGGCTAAATATTTTGGCTTTTTATATTTTAAAACTGCTCCAGTGCATATAACTAGAATATGTGGCTTTACTATATTATCCTACAAAGTCCTGACATTGGTAATTCACATCTTCCTAGGCAAGAATAAATTAAGTCATTAAATTATTCAATAACCAGCAAACAGCTCTAATGCCCACAGGTAAGATTTTTGGTTTGCAAATGGACATCCATTTCTGGGGCTGTTATCCAAGTGTGACCAACTTAGCCGTTAGGCCAAAACAAAACAACAGAACGCAGGAGTGATGTTTAGATGCCATATAAGAGTACAGTAGTCAGGTTTCCTAGACTCATAATTGATGATTTGTGATTAGCTCTGAATTTCATAATGACAGAGACTTCAGAACTCCTTCCTTATTAGATTGCCAAAAAAAGGAGAAACAGAAATGGTTAAAAATTTAGAGAATGCAGCCTCTAAAAAAATAACTTAAGGAAGATTCCCTAATCATTTGAATGATTATTCAAAATTATTATGAAACAAACAAGCAAATAGAACCCCCCTTCTCCCCAGTAATTCATTGATGGGTCAGGTGACCCTGCATCCCTGCCAACTAATCATTTTTATCATTTTAGATTCTCAAATACCTTTATACAAGTGAAGGAGTCTTGGATTTTTAAAATAGTCTTTCTGTAGCAAGAAAAACCAATAAGATGTGACCATTTCAGGGTCTCCCAGTGTGACCTTGGGCGTGTCTCTTTATTGTTCTGGACTTTAGTTCCACATCTGCAGCCTGAAGAGTCACCTAGGGGGAGAATCAAGGGTCTTTCGGTCACAAATTATCTGGTTCCATCTTTTGCAAAGGAAAAAAAATAATATTCATTTCCCCCAAGAAGACAGTCCCCTTGCACATTGAAGGGAGAAACATAGGTTGTGGGAACTCCCACTTATCTATGAGCCCTCTCCTCTTTGCTGTGGCACCTCCTCCCTCCTGCTCTGGACACCAGGTGCCTTCTTGCCTTTGCAAGAAAGGATCTTCCAAACATATTCAAACTGAACTTTTAAAAGAACAGAAAACTTAAAAGGCTATCTCTCCCAAAGTGTATACATTTCAAATTTTCAGTTAACAGAACAATTCTGTGTTTGTGGAATTTTAGGCTTCAGCAATTTGGGGAGAGGAGGGTCTGGGGGATAGAGGACTAACTAGTAGGGCTTTATTATGCATGATTATTATGTTGATCACATCGACCCAGGGCCTCTTCCATTGCCTGACCGTCCCTGCTCTACAAGTAAGGTCAGTCCATTACTATCTTTCTTATCAACATTTGTACGTTCTATATATTTGGGTTGTTTATTTTTTTCCTTCAAATAATTTTTTTGCACACCTTTGCTATGGGCAAAATGGTTTTTCAGGAATGGAGTTCCTTTAGCTTCTTCAAAACTCTGGGGTAGTGTCAAATATTGTCTTCTCTTCTCCTGTTCAATTTTGCAATGGCAAAAAATGTAAAGTTTTTATGGACATTCTTTTTTTTTAAATTTAGTTTAGTGAAGTATAGTTGATTTACAACGTTGTGCTAATTTCTGCTGTACAGCAAAGTGATTCAGATATATATTATACATTCTTTTCTATATTCTTTTCCATTATGGTTTATCACAGGATATTGAATATAGTTCCCTGTGCTATACAGTAGGACCTTGTTGTTTATCCATTCTCTATATAATAGTTTGCATCTGCTAATCCCAAACTCCCAGTCCATCCCTCCCCCACCCCACCCTTGGCAACCACAAGTCTGTTTTCTATGCCTGTGAGTCTGTTTCTGTTCTGTAGATAAGTTCATTTGCATTGTTAGGACATTCTTTAGACTTTGTCATGAGCACTGAAGTATTCTAAATATTTTATTTTAATTGCTGAAATTGCTGTGTCAATGTCGTCTGTGGTATGCTTTTATATGTGGTGACATTTTTAAATGATTTTTTTATTTCAGGGTTTTGGGCTCGTGAAGTAGGTAAGATGATTGGACTAGAACATCCTCTCATTCCAGTTCAGCATCAGTATGTTGTCACATCGACCATCCCTGAAGTGAAAGCTTTAAAGCGAGAACTCCCGGTGCTCCGTGACCTGGAAGGATCTTATTACCTCCGACAGGAAAGGGATGGGCTTTTGTTTGGTCCATATGAAAGTCAAGAGAAAATGAAAGTTCAGGACTCATGGGTCACCAGTGGAGTTCCTCCAGGTGGGTTCAGCAAATAGAAGTGTGTGCAGACACATCTATTTTATCTTCCTTGTAACTCTGGGCTGGCTATAGAATAAGATGCCACCATAATACTAGACTATCAGATACCTGGGACGTTGGAAGTGAGGGATTCGAGGTAAATTCTGTTCTCATATCCCTTTGAACAATCACAGCAGGGGATAAGGAAAGAGAATTGGTGGTGGGAAAGATGAAAAAGATGCTCCCCGCTGCTTTGGAAGGCCCCAGGTAATTTTTACCTGCCCACACCAACCTCCTGCATCCCCCTTTTCTCCTTACTCCCCTGCTTACTTGGTCTAGTTTCTAGATTTGGATATAGCTGCTCTTGTTCTTTGACAGTTGGAAACACAACGGGTAGCAGAGATAGGACATCCAGCCTGTTAAGAATGAAAGCCTCAAAGTCTATAGCAGAGCAGGATAAGTTGGTACTGCGAACTGAAGCCCTCCTGTGCTGCATGAATGGATGTGGAAAAGTCTTAGGCCTCAGTGCTAACTCAGGAGGTACCATAGTTTCTCTTTCAAGTTCTGCAAGGGAGAGAAGGACCTGTTTTTGTTTTTCATGAAACATTTCTGCAGAGCCAGATGAAGGGTTGGTTCACCTAAGGAGGTATCTCAGGTTTTAATCTATAAAAGGAGCCAAAATGTCATTGGCACACAGATATTATAGGGAATATAAAGAAATGGAGGTAATTGTGCTTTCTAGAATTATACTTTGATAAGCTACTTGGGCTAGGGAATGAATCCCTCCCTCCTACTCCTCAAAGAACATCTGTGCCCACATTACTACAAATGATAAACCACCTTCCACAGAAGTTGGGCCAGCCAGCTGAGGGCTTCGGTTTTGCTGGGTGGGCTCTGCACATTCGGGCCTGAGGGGAATAGCTCCTGATCCCAGAGGGAGGGCTAATCTGCCACCTGGGAGTCTCCTTCTCTTTTCTTCCCCCATGCTGGCAATCTCTCCTCCAAATAAATATTTGAACAAATATTTAATAATATTTATTGAACAAATATTTAAATAATTCCAGTTGGAGGAAGAGCCAGATTGTTGGCTGGCCCTGGGCGTCCACATGCCCTGGTCTAACCCTAGTGATCTGCAGGCCTCTCTGACCTGACATGCAGTCCACAGGAGGGACAAGAGGGAGCTGGCTGGCTGCTGTGCGGGAGCATCCCTGGGATTGGTGGCGATATTCTTTTAGCAGCTCATCCGTAGCCCTGCCTTCAATCCCAGTGCCTTTTATGACTGAGAAGATGACTGTGCTCCAAGACCCTGACTCTTTTCACAGAATTCCGGCCCTCGGATGTGTATAGAAGAGGGCTAGAGGAATGAAGCCTCCATGCCATCCTTCCCCGCTAAGAGTTAAAAGGTGTCTAGAATTCATCATCCTAGATGCTAAAGTGGTTTTTCATTTATCCCCACTGTCCTGACATGACTTTGCAAACTCCCATTTGCCCTCACCTGAGAGGATGAAGCAGACTTCTATGGTTAATTGAAGGATAAAAGACCTCTCTTGACAAACCAAATTATTATTGTTTGTTTTTTAAAATTGTGATCGGCCTAAATGCTGGAAACTGCTAATATGCATAAATTAAAATTTTCTATTAAAAAGGTTAACTTTCATGATTTATTGTTTCAGGAAATAACATTATTCTTCTCAGTAATATAGTATACTAATATAACAGTACTCATCTGTTGATAGTAAATATCAAGTTTAGACTTAAAAAAGAAAGTACAATACCTTCCTAACGGGCCATCTTTAAATGTAAGCTGATTCAGAGATTGAAATCACTTTGGAGCACACGTCAGGGCAGCTGTGACATCCTGACCACAGTGGCATTTCTCTTCAGGGTTTGGAAAGGAGCTCTTTGAGTCTGATCTAGACCGAATCATGGAACACGTCGAGGCTGCCATGGAAATGGTTCCAGTCTTGAAGAAGGCTGACATCATCAATATCGTCAATGGTCCTATCACCTATTCTCCTGACATTCTGCCTATGGTAGGGCCCCATCAGGGGGTCAGAAACTACTGGGTGGCTATAGGCTTTGGGTGAGTATCTCTATGTAATTCAACATTTATTATAGAGTTATGTAGTTTAGAGAAGTCTTATCCCATTCTCTCAGGCCAAGAATGGAAAATGGGAGAGAGGCAGAGAGTCTTCTCCCTTTTATGACCAATGAAATGTGAGGAATAAAAAATTTTAGTCTTAAAACTTTGACTTGTATAGGTTTAAAAGATTTGTACACAGAAGGGCAATGATTTCCTGGAAGTTTCTCTTTGCATATTTCCTGCCGTTTCCATTATTTATGTTTCCTTTCATGTTGTGAATGTTCAGATAGGTCAGTTTGCCCCACTTTTGCAAGGATGTTTTCATAACACAATGAGACAAAGATAAATCAAAATATCAAATGTGTAATATGTCTCATGCAGTTTTCACCATAATTCATGTTTGTTCAACGTGATTTTTGTTTCTTTATGATTCCTCTGGTTGCTTACTATTTATGGTTCCATTACCCATTTGATGTTTCGTCCCTAATATTTGTCCCATTAATTTGGTGACTATTAACGTCAAGCCTACCTTACTATCATATCACAGTTTCTAATATTTTACTTTTCTTCCCCATTTTATTTGGCCATTTATTCAACTGATATTTGATGATTGGCCAGCTTTGTACCAGGTCTAGTTCTGGGCACTGGGCTACAGCTGAGAACAAGGCAGTAAGTCTCATCAGAGGCACAAGGCAGGTTGGGGTGCTGTTCTTCCAATACAGTAGAGAGGCTAGGGTATGAACTAAGGAAGCAGCAGTGGGCACTGAGAGATAGGAAACAAAATTATTTAGATTTGGTGATTGATTGCATTAGGTCTTAAGGGAGAGAGAAAAATAGCAAATGATGGCAACCTTTCTTACTTGACTCCTGGTTGGACGCTGGGGGCAAAGGAAGAAATAATTGGAAAAATAATGAGTTCCATTTTTGACAGTGTTAAGTTTAGGTCTTTGGGACATCCAGAGGGAGAAAACCTGATGAAGATAGGAAGCTGGAAGGTATAATGTAACTGAGGGCTTAGGAAATCCCCTATAGAGTCCATATGTAGGCATGTTCATGTGGGAGTGTTTCTCTTGTACATCACTTATATATCTTCTTTGGAGAAAAGTCTATTTGTATACTTTGCCCATTTAAGAAATTGGATTATTTGTCTTTTTATTGTTAAGTTGTAGGAGTTCTTTATATATTCTAGATACAAGACCCTTATCCCATACATGATTTGCGATTTTTTTCCCATTCTGTGGGTTTTTCATTTTCTTGATCATAGCCATTGAAACACAAAAGTTTTTAATTTTGATGAAGTCCAGAATGTGAATTTTTTTCTTCTTTTGAATGTAGTTTTGATATCATGTATAAGGAACCATTGTTTAATCCAAGTTAATGAAGATTTATACCTGTGTTTTCTTCTGAGAGTTTTATAGTTTTAACTCTTTTCTTTTAAATATATATATTTTTGATGTGGATCATGTTTTTAAAAGTCTTTATTGAACTTGTTACTATATTGCTTCAGTTTTATGTTTTGGTTTTTTGGCCTTGAGGCATGTGGGATCTTAGCTCCCCGACCAGGGATTGAACCCACACCCCCTGCATTGGAAGGTGAAGTCTTAACCACTGAGCCACCAGGGAAGTCCCTAGTTTTAACTCTTACGTTTAGGTCTTTAATCAATTATGAGTTAATTTTTGTATGTGCTATGAGGTAAGTGCCCAGCTTGACTCATTTGAGGATAGCCAATTGTCCCAGCACCAATTGTTGAAAGACTATTCTTTACTCATTGAAATGTGTTGGCATCTATGATGTCTTTTTTCTGACACCACTTCTGACATTTAGTTCTCCAATTCTCTGACACCAACTGACTATCCAATAATTCAATTCAATTCTGCTGCTAACTCCCAGAGTTAGTGCAGACCCCACTAGTTAAGGACTCAGTCCCATAAAACTGTCCTCACTTCAGATGCCAATTTCAGATGTCCTCACTTCCAGGGATCACCTGTAATTCTGACTGAATGGTTACACATTTGGAGGTTCCTGCAACCCCATCCTCAGGTTTGATAATTCAGTAGAATAATCACAGAACTACTTACTTTTACCTAGTTATTCTATAGAATACAGCTCAGGAACATCCAAATGGAAGGGATGCATAGAGCAAGGTATGGGAGGGAGGGGTCTGGTGCAGAGGTTCCATGCCCTCTCTGGTGCACCATTTTCCTAGTGCATCAATGGGTTCACCAACCCAAAGGCTCTTTGAACACTGTTGTTTAGGAGTTTTTGTGAAGGTTTCATTACACAGGCACAATTGATTAAATCATTGACCATTGGTGATTGAACTTATGGTGACCAGCCCCTATTCTGAAGCTATCTAGTTCCCCTGCCCCCCTTCCATGGAGCTATCTGTTAGCATACAAAATAATATAAATTCCAAAGGTTTTAGGAGCTCTGTGCCAGGAACTGGGGACAAACACCAAATATTTATTTTTTTTATTGTACCACAGCATCCTTGTCAAAATCAATTCATCATATATGTATAGATTTATTCCTAGACTCTCAACTTTATTCCATGGATCTATATGCCTATCCTTATGCCAGTACCATGCTGTCTTGATTACTGTAGCTTTGCAGTAAGTTCTGAAACTGGGAAGTGTGAATCCTCCAACTTTGTTCTTTTTCAGTATTGTTTTGGCTATTCTGGGCTTCTTAAATTTTTGTGTAAAATTTAGGACCAGCTTGTCAAGTTTTTCAAAGAAGCCGCCTAGGATTTTGGTAGGGATTGCCTTGAATCTGTAGATCAACTTGGGGAGTATTGTCATCCTAATATTGAGTCTTCCAATTCATGAACAAAGGATGTCTTTCCATTTGTTTAGGACTTTTAATTAAAATTTCTCTCAATAATGATTTGTAGTTATCAGAGTGTAAGTTTTGTACTTCTTTTGCTAAATTTATTCTTAAACATTTTATTCTTTTTGATTCTGCAATTAGCTTAATCACTGAATTATTTAGTCAACACATATTTGCAGATCATTGCTCTTTATCTGTGAACAAGAGCAGACAGTATTCCTGCCCTCATGATATTTATATTTTAATAGAACACCTGTCACTAAGGAAATTAGGAAGTTGCTTTCTTTAGAACACTAGTTACTTATCACCTAGAAATTGTATCTACTTGTATGGGGCTGATGTTGGACTCCTGCTTTGATTGCTCTGGGTAATTTTCCCAGGTTGTAGATGTCGCGAGGTAAATGGGGAAGATAACAGGTCGGGGCATACAAAGTGCCACACTCTCTCTGACCAATTTGGTCTGACCCCCAAAGGTCGCCTTGTTATTTAAAAGTTGGGATTGCTAAGATATTTCTTATGTAACATGGTGGATTCCTCACATCGGCTACCCCTCCCAATTTATATCAGTGATCCATCCCATGGTTCTGAAGGCCAGTGACTTCCATATCTGGCTGAGCACCAGGGCTTGTTAAAAAGCAGAATCCCAACTTTGTGGTTAGTCACTTACACGTGTTTCATCCTCCTTTGCATCTTATCTGTGAAATTCTTATTAGTTATCACTAGAATCCATGAAAGGTGTGTGGAATTGGAAAACCAACAAGCAAACAGATTCCCAGACACCCCTCCTATTGATTCTGATTCAGTGGTCTGGAGAGGGGCCCAGGGATCAGCATTTCAGCATTGTCTGTTATTCTAGTCCAACCAGTCGAGAGAATAGGTGTTTGCAAACTGTCTACATATATGCCAGTGCTCATTTACCTTACTCACAGAATACCCTCAGTCAAAGCTGTTTCACTTTTATACCAAATCTAATAAGTTCTTCTGCTTCTAGGTGACTAACACAATGCTCCCCAAATGTTTAATGAGTTGGATTGAATTGAATCTAGTTATCCTGGCTTACAACAGATTATAAACAGCAAATTTAAAGAGAGGAGAGACAGTTTCACAGTTATCATAAAAAAGCATACACACGGGCTTCCCTGGTGGCGCAGTGGTTGAGAGTCCGCCTGCCGATGCAGGGGACACGGGTTCGTGCCCCGGTCCGGGAAGATCCCACATGCCATGGAGCGGCTGGGCCCGTGAGCCATGGCCGCTGGGCCTGCGCGTCCGGAGCCTGTGCTCCGCAAAGGGAGAGGCCACAACAGTGAGAGGCCCGCGTACCGCAAAAAAAAAAAAAAAAAGAAAAGCATACACAAACACTCAAACAGCATAGCAGCTGGGCCATGTACAAGAAGTAGGTTCTACAGATTAATGCTAGACCTAGAAGAAGAGCCTCACTCTTCTTTCCTCTTCAAGTTCCCTTTCACTTCCACTTCACATGTTACTTCCTTATGAAAATCTTATCCATTGGGCTTATCCATTGTTGTTGGTTATACAAGGACCCATAGCCACCATGTACTGCTTGCCTACTATGTGCTTTTAAAGGCCATGTCAATTAATTCTCCACCAGCACCATAACGTGTGCACATGTGGAGACTAAAGCTCAGGGTGGTTACACAGCTTGCCCAAGGTCACACAGCTGGTAGTGGCAGAGCAAAAATCCTACCTAGATCTCTCTTACTCTATGCTTTCACACTTTCAACCACTACACCAGGGGCTCTCAATAGATGTTTCATAGCATTCAGTTGTATGGGATTTTACATATAACTTAATAATGGTTATAGAGCTGATGTTTGTAGAAATTTACTTTTTAAAAATAGATTTGATTCGGTATTATCCTCAAATAACAGCACTCTGCCCCATTTATTGGAAAGAACATGATGGTGTAGCAGTGAGACCACAGGAAACCGAAGCACAACCCTCCCTATGCCCAAGGAGTGTGCCAAGGATGTAAATTCTGTTATGTGTGTCTTGGCTGAAAAAAGATTGAGAACCATTGAAGAAGTAAAGTCCAATAACAGGGAGTGTATACTGGGGGCAGAAGACTGAGTTTGTATCCTGAATCTGCACTTTATTGCTGTGTGACCTTATTTAACCCCTGAGTGCAGGCTGGTTTTCTCATTGGTAAAATAGAGTTGCTAAAGAATAAATCAGCTGGTATATGTTAGAAGGAAACAGTGCTTGGTAAATGGTAAGTACTCAGTGAATATCAGAAGAACTTTAAATAGTTTCAAGTCTCATAAACAGTATCTCTAGCTCTTAAAAATGGCAAGTGTTGTATATTGTACATTGGGACTCTTTAAGTGAATAAACATTTTAAGCATATATTTCATAATTATTTTAAGCATGTATTTAATTTTTTTTTTTTTTTGCTTTCTTGAAACTTAATGAGATTGTTTGTGGGTTATTTGGATGAGCCATGTCTCTTTTTAAAACTATCCAGAGAAGTATAAATTGCTGTCGTTTCATTCTGCTTGAGAAATATCCTTATAACAAATATAAGCATTCATTTTTATAAAGTAGAAAAACTGGTATCTTGTTGTAGAAAAAGGTAGTTAACATTTCCAGTCTTTGCTAAGGTCCTCCCATGCTCTTAGAAGCTGCAATGCTGGCCAAGTAGCTGTCATCTGGAGTGCTGGAATTTCTTGCATTTTGAAGTCTGCTCGTGTAGCTCCTTTTCCTGGTCCTCTACTGGTGACTCCCTGCTCATCCAATTCCTCAGAAGCTTCTCTTGACTTAAACCAAAAACAAACCCACAGTAAAGTCCTTCATCAAGACTTTCCTTTATCCACAAGAATGAATGGGTAGGACTGCCCATGGGCGACGTTAAACTGTGATCCCTCCATCTGGTATGAAATTATTTGCCACAGTCATGTTCTTGGTTTTAAAGCATCCTCATGTGGAAATAGAAAACAAGCCAACCCTCCCCACCAAGTGACCCAAATTGCAAAATACAGGAGCCATTGTTTCTTCCTCCTCTTTCCCACAAGTCCTTGGGTGAATGCCTCTTTGTCTGAATGCTTCTTCTACAATAATGGCCCAAGATCCTTGTGCAGAGGTCATTGCTATGGGAACCTGAACTAAACTGAGTCTGAGAAGAGATGGGTGTGCCACTCTACAGTGTACATATTTCTACTGCAAAGTTCCTATTAGGGAGGATAATCATAGCTCAAGAGGGCTGGTAAGGTACCAACCACATCTGCCTGTGTGCTTCCTCTCCTCCGTTTTCCTAAAGCATCCTTACTAGCTAAGAGTCATAGACTATTTTGCAGATATACAGCTCTTGAAACTGTGGAAAGAAACTAGCTATCAAGTCAGGCACATTTAATTTGGATGCCTAAAGATTTTTTTTTTGGAGGAAAAAATATGATAGCATAAAGATTATGTTGATTGTGTGTTCTGAATAGCAATAGCACAGAACACTGTAGCTTTGAGGCCTTGTTAAATATATGGACATGTTTCATTGTTGGAAAACAATATGTGTTAGTAACAGGGTATTTATTTCTGTATTTGAAAGGTATGGCATAATCCATGCTGGTGGGGTAGGGAAATATCTCAGTGACTGGATCCTGCACGGAGAGCCTCCTTTTGATCTGATAGAATTGGATCCCAATCGCTATGGCAAGTGGACAACAACTCAGTACACCGAGGCCAAAGCAAGAGAGTCGTATGGATTCAACAATATTGGTAAAGTGCACATTTACCGTTGTCTATGAAGTGTGTTCAGAACTGACTTACATCACTTCTGACTTTAGAAGCTTTTTATTCTGTGTATCGTGGGGGAATGGTTAGGGAGTCTAAAAAGCATGTACCTCTAAGACACAAAAAGGAATCTATATGAATATATATCTTTAATGTGAGGAATGCATAAGTGATTTTAACTTTTAAATCTATTTTTACTTTACCCTTTGATGATCAATATAAATACAGCTTTGGGTTTTTGTAAAACATAAATTTAATGCATATATATGTATATATATAATACATACATATATATTATACATATAATATATACATATATATATTATATATATGTATATAATATATGCTTCTAGACTTTAAGTGCTGTGTTTTCCATTTTCTGAATCCCTTCAAAATATTTTATAGTTTTGGTTCTATGCTATTCAGAGCACCGATTTTCCTTTTTCAGTTGGTTACCCTAAAGAAGAACGGTTTGCCGGGAGGCCAACTCAGCGAGTCAGTGGGCTTTATAAAACCCTGGAGTCCAAGTGTTCCATGGGGTTCCATGCAGGCTGGGAGCAGCCACACTGGTTCTATCAACCAGGCCAGGACACTGGGTACAGGTAAGTGGGTGACTTCACCTGCCTGTCACTCTCACCGCAGAATGAAATTTGGGGGTGGAATGGAGGGACCCCAGAGAGGTGCCACGTCCCCCTCCCACCCCATCGCTCCACCCCATTCCAAAGAGCATTGAGCCTTTTCCCACGAAAATCACTTTTTGTGCAGTGCAGGCCTTAGTTTATCCCACGTGACGTTGGTCCATATCTAGGACCCATGTGGCCTCGCGAGACCTACAACCAGCCCAGATGAAGCCTCTGCTTGGCATTTTCCGGTTGCTCAGAGAACCTTCTCCACCCTCTCCAAATCCCCACATGGCTTCAGTTGGCTCCTGAAGGTTTGTCCTGGTTTAGGATGCCTGGCCAAGCCACATAGTATGGAAACAGTATGGAAATATGGATTTTCTATTTGTCAAGGAATAGCTCAAAGCAACCGCTTTCTAGTGTGTGTGCATCGAATCATGCAAGTTATATGCAGTGCTAGTACATTAGCGGAAAAGGTCATTTACTTACTATTTTAGTTTGAGCTAAAACGTAAAGCACATCACTAAAACAATTCTCTGAATTCCTCTAAAGTTGTTGCCATTATACTTGGATTGCATACTATTGTACTTGGGATTAATAGTGATTATATATTTTTTCTCATGAGAATCCATAAACCAAGAGAAAAGAAAGTTTCCTTTTCACGTTAAGTTCTCCTTTTTCTTTCTCAGCTGTGTTGGGTCTTCATTGCTGTTCATGGGCTTTTCTCTGGTTGCGGCGAGCGGGGGCTACTCTTTGTTGCGGTGTGTGGGCTTCTCATTGCGGTGGCTTCTCTTGTTGCGGAGCACAGGCTCTACACACGCGAGCTTCAGTAGTTGTGGCACGCGAGCTCTAGAGTGCAGGCTCAGTAGTTGTGGCGCACGGGCTTAGTTGCTCCACGGCATGTGGGATCTTCCCAGACCAGGGATTGGAACCCGTGTCCCCTGCATTGGCGGATGGGTTCTTAACCACTGCACCACCAGGAAGTCCAATTCTCTCTCTCTCTCTTCTTTTTTTGACCTGTCATTTTGCTTATTTAAACAGGTTTTAATGTCTACTGTAAGATCAGATCTAAAAGGTCCAAAGTATAGTAGAGGGCCAGTTGCTGATTAATGAATTTGGACTCTGTAGTCAGCCAGTGGAGATTACCTGGGGGCAAAATACCGGTTTGGTTTTTCCTAAACGACTCAGATAAATGCCAGATCTATTCTTCACCTTGTGCTGTTTGGACCTGGCCTATTTCTTCTACTATTTTAATAATTAAACCACTGAAGACTCATTTTGCAGACTTAGCATCCTGCTCTGAAGTTAAAATACCACATTAATAGTCCACTCTGTAAACTAGAAACGACCCTGCATAATGAGTTAGGAGACCTTTGTTCCAGGCCCAGCTCTGTCATTAACTAATGCAAAGACCTTGGAAGTCACTTTGTGTCTTTTCTCTAAAAAATGAAGATGTTGGACCAGATCCTTGCTTACTCCAGGTGGACCAGCATGAAGCCTGTTAGAGTGCAGAATCTAGGGCCCCTCCACAGACCTGCTGCATCAGAATCGGTATCTTAACAAGTACAAGTGATGTATTTGCATAAATGTTTGAGAAACAAAAAACAAGATATCTCTACCCCTCATATATTCTGGTTTAATTATGCCCCCCAAATTAGTACTTTTAAAATGCTCCCCCCCAGTGATTCTAATATGTAACCAAGGTTGAAAACTACAGGATTGGTTAACTTCTAAGCTCTTTTCCAGATCTGAGAACCCACATGGCCTATCTTATTTTCTACTTAATTAATACTTCATTCACTATGAAATGGGTCAAGGGATAGATGAGTAACTTAAAAAATCAAGTAGATTCCAATATGTATGTATGATTTGTAGAACAGGTGGCACTTTTCCCCCAAATGAAATTTTCTAGGCAAAGAGGGTGTATTAAAATATCCTTATTCTGTAATTTTTTGAAAATGAATAACTCTTGTTTTATGACAAACATTGTGTTTCAGGCCAAGTTTTCGCCGCACAAACTGGTTTGATCCTGTGGGCTCTGAGTATAAACAGGTTATGCAAAGGGTAGGGGTGATTGACCTGTCACCATTTGGCAAGTTTAACATCAAAGGTCAAGACTCCATTAGATTGTTGGACCATCTCTTTGCAAATGTCATTCCCAAGGTAAATAACCTTATAGGGGTACAAGGTCCAGGATTCTGGCCTACTTAATTCTCTACCTCTTGTTTTCAAAAAAACGAATATGTTATGTCAATTCACCTAATGATTTCTGTATGAACACCAGAACCCTTCAACTAACCAAGGGTATTCTAGCTAATTTTCAAATTTAAATTTTTGTGAAATGAATTATCATCTAAGGACCTTATGACTTTGTTTAGTTGTGTAAATGGGAACCCCCAAATTGGAGGAAGTGTAATTTTTATGACAAGTAATTATAATGGTCATTTAAACTGAAAACTTCAAAATTAATGGGTTTAGGTTTACAGATAGTTCACACAATTGATAGAAATGATAGCATTCAGATGTTTTTCATTTTTGACAACCACATTTTTATTTCCATGTGGTGTTAAAAGGACACATAAGATTTTTATTTCATCCTGAGGTAATTTAAAATTCTTTTGTGTAGGTGGGTTTTACAAATATAAGTCACATGTTAACACCAAAAGGTCAAGTATATGCTGAGTTGACAGTTTCTCACCAGTCTCCTGGGGAGTTTCTATTAATAACTGGTTCTGGATCAGAACTTCATGATCTTAGGTAAGTGTACACCTAGTAAGAAAATTTTACATGGATTGTATATTGACCCAATCTTGCACCGAGGTTTTGTTTGTTTGTTTGTTTTTTTACCAGTAATTGAAAGTACAACTTTAATTCTTAAAATCTTATTGTTTTAAATAAACTTCATGTCTCATAGAGGAAATTATTTGAAGGGCCCCTATGACCATCCCCCTCCCAAAGGTAGTCCATCCATGGGGTTTACTGGTTTTAATAATATTAACTCCCTTTTGTTAGGCATCACCAATATGTCAAAACCATTATTACACGTTATCTCAATAAATTCTTTTAATAGATATATCTGCAAGGTATGTATTATTCCCAATTTCAGGTGAGGAAAGTGAAGTTTGGATTAAAGTAACCTGCTCAAGCCAGCCTTGTTGATTCTGATGCCCATGTTTGGTCCACTTTAGTGAACTGCCTCCCTGGTTTTTCTTCCTTTTTCACGCTTTGTGCCACAAAGCTGCATCTAAATCATTGACCTGCCAAGTCAATCCTTCACACGAAGCTTTAGTCTACTATTTAGTCTGCTCTAAAATCTCTAATCTTCAGTATTTCAAAAATACTTGGAATATTGTTGTTTAGTAAACATCTTACTCTGACAGATTCTCACTCTAGTTGTAAAATGATGCAAATTATATCCTCCAATCCAAGGTGCATTGGGAGCCATCTTAGTAGCTTAGCTTTGTGTCAGTCCAGATGATCATTTTCTGATAGACTTGTGTAGCTCCAGGGAGTGCTCAATAAATTATAAATGAGCCCTATCCCTGGGTTCCAATAACTCATCAAGACTCAGAAATTGAAACTAGTCTTTAGAGTTTTAATCTTTTCCTTGCCATTGTCAAAGCAAATATGTGTCTGGTGGCAGGTGCATTATTAACCTTTAGCAGCACAAGCATGCCTCCTGTGTACAGGTATTAGAGAAAATTTTCCCAAGATTGAATCATCAGTTTAAATGCAATAGGGCTGTCACTATTTAAAAGAATCGTGTGGCAGAGTTTGTTTAAACGGAAGGGTCCTTCCGTACTGTGAAAAATTGCCCACACATTGAAGTGGGTAGTTTAAAGAGGATCATTTAACATCTCTGGGACTCAGTTTCCTCAACTTTAAAAATTAGGTGATCTATGTGAAATGACATTCTAGGGACTTTCTGGCAATTCTAGACACAGAGCATTTCTTCCGAGAAATAATCTGTTACCAACATGCATTATTCAAGCAGGATTTAACACGATGTTTATGAATCTCAAATGCAGATGGATTGAAGAAGAGGCTGTCAAAGGTGGATATGATGTTGAAATTAAAAACATAACCGATGAGCTTGGAGTCCTTGGCATCGCAGGGCCACATGCAAGAAAGGTCCTTCAGAAACTGACCTCTGAAGATCTTAGTGATGGTGTTTTCAAGTTTCTTCAGACCAAGTCTTTAAAGGTTTCCAACATTCCTGTCACTGCTATCAGGATATCTTATACTGGTAAGAATTGGAAAACAACCTAGAATAAGGCTCTAAAATTTAAAAGCAGTTACCAGAAATGTGTGCACGCATGCACATACACACAGTGCGCGCACACACACACACACACACGCGTGCGCGCGCGCACACACACACACACACACACACATTCACTTTGGTCATTTTAACTTTGGAGAAAGATTTCTCCTGCCTGACTCTTCTGACAATTTTGTTTATTCACTCCTAGTCTGAGAGAGTCCTTCCATAGATTTCCAATTGTTCCAGGCTCATAGCTAGCTGCCTACCATTTGGAAAGGTAGGTAAGAAGGTGGGAAGAAGATGGCTGTTGGAATAGTTGGAAGGGTTGACAGAATATTCAGGCCAGCTGATTCTGTTTGGGAACATTCAAAATGGTCTCCCATTGATAGAGTCTCCCATAGAGAACATCGTGAATGTATCAGGCACCGCTCTTAAAGCATTACTACTGATCATCTTTCTTTCTGACTCTTAAGTGCATTAGGGAAGACTTACTATGCAGCTAACATTGCACATAGTAGATATTTGGAAACAGGGATGAATGAATGCTCCCCATTGGTGCTCTGGGCTCACTTCTAACTCCCTGTAGATTCCCTGTCCCTTCACAGAAGACGTACTGGGTGCCCAGGCATTCACTCAATTACGTGTTGCTAACGTTCTGGTGTTTGTCCTGGAGAAGCACCTCACCATCAGCCCTTGACATGAGGAATGAGGCGAACATACAGTATAAAGACCATAGCTCTTCCCTGGGCTTCCACTGTCCCTTTTCACCATCCTTCCTCTGCCCAACCTTGGCAAAATGGTGACCAGAATAAAACATAAGCAGAATAAAAAATAAGCAGACTCTTTGTGTTGGGTGTCATTTTCTTTGTTTTTTGCCCACAGCTCTAATGGTGAATTAAATGACCAAATGGGGAAGAAGGGGGGAGTGGGGGGCATTAGAGACTATGGCTATCCCACAGTGAAGACCATTTGAATAACTGTCATCAGTTGCCTTTATCTTTTTTGTTTGTTTGTTTGTTTTTTTGCGGTACGCGGGCCTCTGACTGTTGCGGCCTCTCCCGTTGCGGAGCATAGGCTCCGGACGCGCAGGCTCAGCGGCCGTGGCTCACGGGCCCAGCCGCTCCATGGCATGTGGGATCTTCCCCAACCGGGGCACGAACCCGTGTCCCCTGCATCGGCAGGCGGACTCTCAACCACTGCGCCACCAGGGAAGCCCAGTTGCCTTTATCTTTAAGCCTTGTGATTTGGGGCCAAGGAGTTGGGGGTTGAGGTGTCTAAACCTTGAACCCCTTTTCTTGATAAACTCTGCCATGCTAATTCCTGACTTAACATTATGAAGCTGAGGTCAAGGGGCAAGAGTAACTCCTGCATCACAGTCTTTCTGTGTCATGAGATGTCCTAGATGCTACCCTCTGTGTGGGGGACAAGATTGGGCACAAAAGCATCTGTGATATGGCAGGCTCCTTTGCAGTGGGGTTTGGTTGCAACCTTTTTCTGAACTGGTCTTTTAAAACTCAACAATGTCTATATTGCATAAATGGAATCTCTCCATTTATTGATGTGTTTTAGCTATTGCACATTAGACTCAATGATCATCATTCTTACTCTGGTGGGCACTTGTGGGTGTATTTCAGGTGAGCTGGGTTGGGAGCTGTACCACAGACGAGAAGATTCTGCGGCACTTTATGGCGTTATCATGAATGCAGGCCAGGAAGAGGGAATTGACAATTTTGGAACCTATGCCATGAATGCCTTAAGACTGGAGAAAGCTTTCAGAGCCTGGGGGTCAGAGGTTTGAAATGCTAGCATCTTTATTAAAATTTTACGTGTACTGTATCTGATTTTTATATAAGGGTTAGTTTTAACTGCATTAACATTGGCTCTGGCTGTAAGAGAAAGTATGTATTATAAGAAAAAAAATTTTTTTTTTGTTTTGCCCATGCCGTGCAGCATGCGAGATCTTACTTCCCCAGACCAGGGATCAAACCCATGCCCCCTGCAGTGGAAGCGCAGAGCCCTAACCACTGGACCACCTGAGAATTCCCCGAAGTTTTATTTAATTAGGGAAAGAGGTTTTTCTCCCCAATTTCCCAGTTGCAAATTCACTGGAATTATGACATAATGTTTATTCTGCCCTAATTCCTCCTGCTTAGCAGAGAGCCCTGGACATCTGTCTCTGACTGTGTGCGGAGCTGTGGCTATCCCAAGGGAGCCTGCCTACCTCACGGGACTTGAGGACTACCTTTCAAATTCTTCCTTCTCCTCTGTCATATTGCCCATCCTCAGTTCTTTCTTATCCCGCACCTTTTGGGGAAGTAACAGCCAAAGGGGTCATTCTGAGGGGGGTTGGTGGTTGGTGGTCTGGGATCTGTTGGTCCAGCCCACTCCCACCATTAATAATGGGAACTCAGGGTTTCTATTTGTGTAGTTACACACCATTTTCATAGTCATGATCTCATCTACCTTCTCAACTCTCTCTGAAGGAGGTATTATTGGTGATTCTTGTGCAAGGGGTTGGCAGTTCTACACACAATCCCTGTTCAAAACACAATCACACTAAGAAGTAATAAACAACTTGGTCCAGATTACTCTGTTCTCTGTTTTATCTCCAATATGGCAGGCTATTTTTAGACCCCCTTAATTTTTTCAGATTTGCTAGTTGTTTCCTTGGAAGACGTTAAGGTTTTAGGCCTGGGAAGTGAGATAAGGGACAGTGGTAAAAGATGTACTTACTTCAGGGTAGGGTCTCTTGGGTTCAGATGTATCCTCTACCACATACTAACTGTGTGACCTTAACCCTCTAGAGTCTGTTTACTTCTCTATAAGATAGGGGCAGTCTTTCTCCTCCAGAGTTATTGTCGAGATTAGATAGTCTACAAAGTGCCTAGGATATAACAATAAATTTGAGGGCAGAGTGGGTTTGAAAGTGCAGGCAGGGTCCCTTGGACAGCTAGACCAGGGACAGAAGCAAGTGGACTTTGAGGTGGAGAGGGCAGCCTCCTGGAGCCCCTGAAAGAACAAGGGCCCTGGGGCAAGTCACTGTTTTGCAGGAGAGGTGCTGTGTTATAAGGATTCTCAACCTACAAGCCGGGTGTGGGTGGGGTTCTTAGCGGAGGCTGCTGCAGGGAGAAAAGTAGAGGACGGCTCTGCCTCCACACTCCACAAGGGATGAAGCAGCTGAAGCAGCCTTTGCGGTCAGGCGTTTCTGCGCCTCCCTGCCTTTTCCCTCGGACCCCTCCTCTGAAAGGGTTTTCTCCATCCCCCGTCCCTCCGATTTCCCAGCAGTGCCAGCACGCCCTCTAGTGTTAATACATCAACCAAGCATCTGGGCTTTGTTTTCATTTTTTTCCTGGAATTCTGAAACTTTGAGCAGGTAAAAATTTTAGAGGTGCTCAAATGGATTAGGAAATATGAGGCCGAAATTTTATGTTATGTAAAACAAGTTTATATTACTCATTCAGTTCATACGAGGGCTGTGTTGTCTTTTTTTTTAAGTTTGGCAACTTTTTATGAGGTTTAGACCAGTTCTCCTGGAGCAAAAGAGACCAACGACAACAAAATAAACAAGTAAACAAAAATCAGGTCTAGTCCCAAATAGTGGCTTTAGTTCCCCTTGAACTATATTGTAATAACTCAACCAATTTGAAAAGATTGAAATTCAATCTCTATTTTTTTCCTTTTCCCTCTCCTGAACTCTGTAGAAGCCATTTTCCTATCACCTGCTTTTTCCTCTACTTATCCCAATTTCTGGATGATTGTAAGATAAGTAAATTACTTACTACCGTTTCAAAACCTATTTATGTAAAATTATTAGATAAAAGCTTCTGAAAGTCTTGTTTCTGGGAAGACATCATTGTTGTGGTATCCCTCAGATGTTTATTATACAAAGAGAGCCTAGGAAACAAACTGTGAATTTTAGTTTCTAATTTGCTATTGAAATAACAGTATTTGCTGAAAGGCTACATTTGAATTTTAGATTTAAAAAAATTACTTTGAGGCCAGTCCACAATTTTCCTTTTTCAGAATCTATATTCATAGTGAAAAAGTGTTCTCTTCCCTAAAAAGTATATATGAAAGTGATGTTATTAAAACAATTTGCACTCATCTAAGATTTATAATGTGTGTTTTCCCTTTTAGATGAACTGTGATACAAATCCCCTGGAAGCGGGACTGGGATATTTTGTAAAACTAAATAAGGTATGTTTACATTCCAAAGTTTTACTTGAAGTAAATCTTAAAATTGTGCTGTTTCATGACAGAGCCATGCTTTAAAATTTAGCCAAGTATGATTATAGGACAAATGAGTTGAACATATATAGTAAGCATTGCTCAAATGCTTCATATTAAAATTTGTCAAAATTTGATATTAGTTCGAACAATTGCAACGTGCTTGTAGATGTAAGGTAGCAGAATCCAGCAACTTTAAAGACTAGCTCTAAATTCTAAGATTAAAAATCAGTAAGGATAAGATGTCAGCAGACACTCTTGTAAATCTCGGTGACTTGTGAAGTCACAATTAGCTAACGAGACATAGACATACTGCATTAATTGACTCTCCCTGGGTGCTCACAGCACGAAGCAGCCTCGCCCCAGCAGATCTATCCATCTGCTTATTGAGAGCATCTTTGTATGTAACTGCAACATCTGCGTATAAGCAAACCGACACATTTCAAATATGTTCAGCATAAAACAGGTATTACTGAGAAGCCAATACAGGCCCAAAGAATCATAACTGATATTAACATTCCAAAGGGAACCCCTGCATCAGTGGTTCTCAAGCAGATAGCCTGAGGCTCACCTGGGAGCTTGTTACAAATGCAAATCCTTAGGTCCCCCACACAGACCTACTAAATCAGAATCCCTGGGGGTCAGGCCAAGAGATCTGTGTTTAACAAGCTTCAGGGGATTCCGATGCACCTAAAGTTTGAGAAACACCACCCTACATAATTATTGTGGAAAAGCATATTATGAGGCCAATTTATTACAGCCTAGCTCATCTCTACAAATCCCACAAACATAAATGAGGTTATTCCATTGTTATGGTCTGAATGTTTGTGTCCCTCCAAAATTCATACACTGAAGCCCTAAGCCCCATGTGATGCTATTTGGAGTCGGGGCCTTTGGGAGGAAATTAGTTCAGATGAGATCATGAGGTGGGACCTCCATGTTGGGATCAATGTTCTTATGAGAAGAAGAAGAGAGATCAGAGGTTGCTCTCTCTCTACCATCTGAGGACATAGTGAGAAGGCGCTGTCTGCCAGCCAGGAAGAGGAGGCTCATGGGGGAACCAAATTGGCCGGCACCTTGATCTTGGACTCACCAGCCTCCAGAACTGTAAGAAGTAAACTCCTGTTGTTTCAGCTACTCCCTCTGTGCTATTTTGTTATAGCAGCCTGAGCTGATTCAGACACCTATTAAGCGGTGTCTCAGTTACTATAAGAGAACTCAATGGAGGTACAGTTAGCAGTAATATTGAAGGATAAGGATGGCAGCTGCTTTCGCTCAGGGTATTTGTTAGAATTCCAAAATTCCTGTTCTGGCCTACCTTGGGTGCTAATCAGCTAAAGTAAAGGCTGTTTCCCCATTCTATGGAAATATGTGAACACATGAATATGAATCAGGCTAAGGAAACTTTTTTAATGCCCCTGAATCAGTTCCCAAATTCTAAGCTAAGATATTAACATAAAGATGTATATTTATAGCATTAGATTTTAGGAAAAAAGAACCTCCTAAAGGGTTTTAAAGGGAATATCTTTCTGTGCATTTTCCCCATGACTTTTATTTTTATGATGTACCATCTGCCTCCAGACCAGAGAAAGCAGGTGCTTGACGTTTGGGCAGAGCCTAGCAGCAGATTGCTCCTTCTGATAACAGAAATCTTGGTTTAGCTTTGTAAAATAAGGGTGAAAATGACCTGACTCCTGAAAGCACTAAGTTCTGTTGTTGGTCACCAGTAGGTTAATAGATAGCTGACTTTTTTGCTTCAGTGTTTGGGTATTATTGTTTGGGGATAAGGCACAAACAATCTCTTCATGTTGAAAATGGATTTTTAAAACTCTCTTTATGATTATAAGCAGGTGTAGTGTGGATTGCATATTTATTAGTTCCTTTAAATTATTTCAATAACCAAAGCTCAGCTCAAAACTAATTTAATAGATAATGATTTTGATTTATGGTATATTTTTATGATTTCTGTATTGTTGGTTCTCATTTTGGTGTCATAAAGTTAATTTCTAATGCTTTCATTGGTTGAAGGTCCATGTAGCACAAGGACCTGGACCTAATCAAGCCAGTCTTTTTTAATTACCATGACTCAGGTCGTTAGTGGGCATCAAGCTAACTGTAGCAATGCTTGCTAATTTCCAAGACAGGTGAATAGGTTGGATCAACTTCGTTTCAAGCCTATTTGGTGGTCTCACAACAATTTTATCTTAGTTTTGTAGCAATCTCTAATGTAAAACAGGTTCCTGGAAAACTTATTTATATTATAAACTGAACTGTGTCACTTGGTAATTCAAGTCCTGTGCCTCAAAACAAAAATGTTACCCAACCTGGCTTCATACAACATTTTAAAGAATAATATAATGCAAGTCCATATTGCTTTGGAAAATTGATGTTATATGAAAACTGAAGCAGCAAATACAGGGGAATATTTGTATTTAATACCAATCAGAACAAAACAAAACCCTAAATCCTGACACTTTACAATAGTTTAAAATCAATTCTTTTCTTATCCTTCAAAGTAAATATGTAGACTTCACTGCTCGGCCCTTAAGTGTTTCCACAGTGATTGTGTAAGCCATAATATGAAGAGAAATATAGAGATGCAGGCTGTGTCAGAGTTAGGAGGACCACTGGAGATCACTCAGCACCACCTCTTCATTTGAGGATGAGGAAACTGAAGCACAGAGAAGTGACCTAGGTGCTGTCCTGTGTGTTGGCCCAGGTTAAACTCTGACCTCCCTGCAGTGCTCTCTCACCCACCACTTTTCCCAACCAGGTCCTTTCCCATAATGGGCTTATTGGCCTTGAAAAACTGCCCCCAAATTTTCTGGCAACATGTATCATAGAATCTGCATGGCTACATTTTATCGATGAATACCTCCCACAGTTATGATTTTGTTATAAGTAATTTTGTGTTTTGTGGTAGGATCAGAATAGCTGCCTTGGCCATTTTAAGAAGGAAAGTGGGTGGGTGAGGAGATGGACCATCTGACTCATTAGGCCGAACTGTTCTTATCGAAACTGGTACAAAAGTAGGGAAAAGAAAACTGGAGTAATGGGGACATCTCAGATCGTAAAGATGGCATTTGCCTTCCTTGACTCTTAGAGTTGTCTGAGCCTTGGTCTCCCTATGGTGTGGGCTTATGTGAAGCAAATACAGATGTGTGTATACATTCATTCATCTAGTCAACATTAAGTAAGTACCATTTATTAAACACCTCGCTAGGCCACAGGTCTAAAAGTTAAAGATACAGCTCCTGACGGCTCTCAGATCTCATGAAGCTGGGAACAAATGGAACTTTGGGAACTAAAAGCTGTAGGATGCATTCTTAACCTTAATTCTGAAAATACTGTTCCTCATGAGGAGGGTTGTGTAGTAGTGCGTATCAGTACTGTCTTGTAAAGAGTGAGCATAGGGTCCTGACAGGAAACGTTAAGCACAACTGTGAAACAGGTAAAAATAACTGAATATTTCCTGTTAAGTCTTCTCAGCTAAAACCCCTTTACCTGAAACAAGTCATATCATTGTGCTTAATAGTATTATAATTTGTTCCAGAGGAAGTTACTTTTGGGGGAAAAAATTAGTGGCTTTTTTTTTTTAGTTGGAAATGAAAGAAATGCATTAATTAAAAGCAAAAGGAAAATCAGCTGCCTTAGGTTGCAGTCATAAGTATTCTTGGAATTTTCCCCTTGGAATTACTGAATCTATCCATTTCCAGATAACCCCAGCCAAGAGCCACAGAGAATCAAATACTAAGGGTAATGTGTTAAGAGCAGAAGAATTTTTTTTTTTTCTATAAGATCCCCCCACCCTTTCTCTCTCTCCCTCTCTTTTCCTGTCTTGAGTTTCTAACCAGCGGAAACAGAATAAAACGTGATATATATTAACCACAACTTAGAAGACAGTATTGATTCTAGAGATTACAGGGTCTCTCTTTAAGGAAAGATGATTTAAAGCATAACCATTCAGTAGGCAAAGCAAAACAAAAGGATGGTAAAGAGGCAAAACCCTCACCACCAGGCCGACTGCATCCAAGTATTCAATAAATATTAGTAAAACATCGAAGTGGAAATAAATCATTGTTCACAGACAACCAGTTAGAAAGGAATTTCTAGTACGTGATGGTGGTGAAAGTACCCAGCTCTGGGGAAATTTTAGGTAAATGGTAATAAGATTTGAGGAGGCAAAACATTTTCAGCGACTCTCAGTCCTGGCTGCATGCCACAGTCATCTGAAGTAGGATTCCTTTATTCATGCAATCCTTTAAAAAATCCCAAGGCTCAGGCTGCATCCCAGATCAATTAAAAAAGAAGAGCTGGGGTAGAGACTCAGGCAGCAGTATTTTTTTTTAATTCCCCAGGTGATTCCAAAAAAGATTGAGAATGATTGTTTTTAGGCCAGTGATTTTCAACTGGCTGAACGTTACCATCTTGAAGAACTTAAAAGAAAAATTACCTGATGCCTTACCCCCAGTAGTTCTCAAAGTGTGGTTCACAGACCAGCAGCATCAATGTGACTTCAGGATTTATTAGAAATGCAAGTTATCGGGCACCATGCCAATCCCCAAAATCAAACTCTGGGGATAGGGCTGGCAATCTGTTCTTACAGGCCCTCCACGTGATTCTGATGAACGCTGAAGTTGGAGAACACTGACCTGCCCAAACCAATTGGATCAACCCTGGGGGTAGGGTCTGGTTTCTTGTTTTTATTATGCAATGAAGATTGAGAACCACTGTCTTAGTTATTTTAACCTCATACCTGCTTATGGTCCTATGCATACAGGAAAGCAGAAACACAGCCTGGTCAGACAATTGGCTACCAGTTAATATATTCTGTCCCAAATCTTTTTCTTTTTTTGAATGAATTTTTTAAAAATATCACCAAATTCTAGCTCTGTGACCTCGGCAAAGCTATTTTACTTCATTTTCCATCTGGGATTGCTAGTCTGTAAAATGAGAGCTCCCTTCCATGT